CATAACTAATATTTATCCTCTTAGAGATTCAAAAGCAAATTGATTGGAGTGTGAACGAGATGTTCACGTTTCGATTTTTATTCAGGTTGATGGACAATATTATTTTAACTAAAGACTGACTAAACTTTTCATCCCTCATCCCAAATATTTAAAACAGTCTGAAAAACACTCAAATACGTCGATTTTAAGATCACATCAAGGAGCACTCTATGATCACTACTTAACTTGCACTATTCACGGAGTGAGGGCTTGTGAATTGAAAATGGACACAATTGAAAATGAAAAATCACTTCAATTCAATTTTAGGCTAACTTTATTGAAGCATTAATATGGAAATATGGTTCACGGTCCTTGCCAGAAAGCAAACTGAAACTTTTTTCTTCATTGAATGAATGCATTATTTCGATAAATATCCGCAATTAGAGGTTTCTTTTTATTGTGTACACTTGTAATTGGTCAAATAAAGACTTTGCATCAATCTTGCCAAATGAAGCTCGACATCGTAACAATTATAAGCATCATATTAGAACACGTTTCAAATAGATACTGTGACCAGGGCAAACAATACATTAGGATAAAATTATTGAGTAAAATGAAAGATTGTATGAGAATTATCATCTAATGTTTACCTGAATGAAAGCATAATTATCATTTATGAATGATTCCCCAACCCAAAAGCCAACCGAAGGATCGTTCAATCGATCTAGATTATAAAGCAACTGAAAAGACAATACTTAGCTAATCAAAGAACGCAATTGATGAGTATACTTACCTTGAGTTTGATTCTTGGTTCAATATTATAATTGTTTTGATAAATCCTATGATAATGAGAGTATGAAAGACCAATCTGTACATGAAAGAAAATTATATTTAAGACTAGAGCATAATGGCGATTTTCAAGTAAATGCATACTTTGGCCACTGATTTGGCTGCTAAAAATGAACTCAAACCAACTTGAAATATTGTATTGCAACCAATGATGCCCAAGCTGAGATCAGCTAATGGCATCCCAAACAGTCCAAGGTATGAGTAAAGCATAGCAACTTGACCAGTTACACTGATCAAATTGTAAGCAGCATAAGCAATGTAACGCATCATGCAATTTATGTGATCAAACTCGTTGAGAAAGGAAATATTCAGGTTGCAAAGTTTTCTCAATGCTGAAGATCGTATATATTTTAGTTTTAACGATGTCTGTAATTCGCTATAAATTGAATTCGATTTGTTAATCACATAGAAAAAGGCTATACCATAAAGAAAGCCAATCCAAGTAGCTTGAGGAACGAACCAAATGATTGCACTGAGTGCAATTACCTGCCAAAAAGTATACAAACTGATAACAAGTGGACTTTTTAGTGCCAAATAGAATGCTGTACTACTGAACATCAAATAAAGGAAACATGTTACCCAAATTGAAGCAACGATCAATGATGCACCAACTATTTGTCGTGCTATGAAAACGCTTGTTTGTCTCCATTTCAAACAATATGCTTTCTTCATGTTGAGTATTTCAGGTTTCCATCCATTGATCATTGCTTTATCAATCACTTTAGTCCAATCAAGGGATCCTTTCCGTGCCAAGTAACATGATACTGCTCTAAAACCACCCAAACAAGCAACACAACAGACACTCAACATTCGAAGTGCATATTCATTTCGCTTGCCAACAAATATATCACCCAAATAAGCTAAAGTTAATAGATTATCAGTAAAAAAGCAACAAATTAAACGAATAACAGTGAGTAAAGTGAAGAGGTCAATAGTGAAGGATAATAAAAGGAACCGTTTGCTCAGCATTATTGGGTGATCTGCATTTGGATGAGGTTGATAGACGAGCAAAAGTTTGCCAAAAAACATGAATCTTTTGATTGCTTCCACAGCTTTAGCATGTTCAATATCTATATGTGGCCAGCCAACAATAGCATAAAAAAGACCGCTTATTACGTTTTTCTTTGGCTGTTTTATTTTGGGTTGAGTATCAGAAGTCATTTTGTCATTGAATTGAAAGATATTAATTGTAGAAACCTAAGGAGGAAATTTCAAGTTACTCTGATGCTTATTGTTTCTTTTTTATTAAATTTCTATTAAATATCGATTTGATCGCTTGTGCAAATCAATACAATCATTAAAGCTAAACTTTGAACTATTAATGCGTATTACTTCTTAACAATTTATATCTAATCGTCAATTCGACTGTTTAATCTTCAATTATAATGGACTTTTCGATTTATTTTAGTCTCAATTTCTTGATGATTGAAATTCAATAAAGTGTTTTAACTATTATAGATTTGTGGAAACATTAAAAATTACTTTCAGCAAATTCGCGTTTAACTTTTGAGACAATCAACTTCTATTGTTCGATTTTATTTTGACTTTAATTGCAGATTGATAATTTAATTTCTACAAACGATAGACTTACTTTTCTGTTTATGTTTTATTGAATAAGTTCATGCGTTATTGTATGAAAAGGTTTCTTTTAAACTTGTTAGTAATTAGTCGAATCAATCTTGCCAAATGAAGTTTGACAGTGTAACAGTTATGAGCATCACATTGGAACACGTTTCGAATAGATACTGTAATAAGCGAAAGCAATGTATTGAAATGAAATCATGAAATTAAAAGATTCATCAATCATTAAGTATCACTAAAAGTTGGAATGAATGTTTACCTGAATGATTAATTAATTACTTGTAATTATTCATCAAAAATGATTCCCCGATCCAAATTCAACGTATCAATCCCGCTGCCCAATCGATCTAGATTACCAAGCAACTGACAATATTTCGCTAATATCGCAATAGAATTAATGATTGTACTTACCTTGAGTTTGAATCTTGGCTCAATATTATAATTGATTTGGAAAACCTATGATAATGAGAGTAAGAAAGGCCAATCTGTTGCTTAAATGAACAATATTAGAAATTGCGTATCATGTTGATGCTTACTTTAGCCATACTTTGCAAAAAAATGAATTTAAACCGATTTGGAATATAGTGTTTCGATGCCAACGATTCCCATGCCAAGATCAGCTAATGGCATTCCAAACAGTCCGAGGTATGCGTAAAGCATAGCAACTTGACCAGCTACACTGACGAAGTGGTAAGCAGAATAACCAATGTATGGATGAATGATGATCAAGCGATGAATGTTATCAAATTCATTGAGGAATGAAATATTCTGCAAAGTTTATAAAATATAAAAAATGTTGCCAAAATATAAAGCAACTGAAAATAAGTGCCTTTTGTAGTGCTATGTAGAATGCTTCACAACTGACTGTCAGATAAACGAAACATGTTGTCCAAACTACAGCAATGATTAACGACGTACCAACTATTTGTCGAGCGATGAAAACACTTGTTTATCTCCACTCCAAACAGTATAATTCCTGCATGTTGAGTACTTCAGGTTTCCATCCATTGATCATTGCTTTATCAATCACTTTAGTCCAATCCGTACCAAGTAACACGACACTGCTCGGAACCCCCCAAACAAGTTATACCACAAACAGCTAACAATCGAAGTGCATATGCATTTCTGATACCAACAAATATGTCGCCCAAATAAGCTAAAGTCAATAGATTATCAGTATAAAAGCAACAAATGAAACGAATAACAGAAGTCAAAGTGAAGAGATCAATGGTGATGGACAGATATGTAAACCATTTAGTTGGTGGTATTGGATTGACTGCATTCGGGTGATGTTGATAGACGAGTGAAAGCTTTCCGAATAACATGAATCTTTCCACAGCTTTAGCGTGTTCAATATCTATTTGAGGCCAGCCGATAATAGTATAAAAAGAGCGCTAATTCTGTTTTTCTTTATTTGTTTGCTCAATTTAAGAGTCATATTTTGACTACAGCAATAGTCAACATTTTATTTTTGAAATCGAAATATTCTAAAACCAAAAACTTAATGAAAAAATTTCATAGATAGTCTGATTTTTATACTTATATTTCATTACATAGTTAAATACTTGAAATATTGATTTCATCTCGTGTTTAAAGCTAGAATAAAATGAATCTCATAAAATATCATCATCAACTACCAATGCGTATCATATTTCATGTTATCGTCATTCCAATTATTCAAAGTTCAAGCATGATTGACCTTTCAATTTTGGTTTGATTTACGTATGATGAGATGAAAAATTCAATACAATGTGTTTATTAGATTTGGAAACAGCGAAAATTATTTACATTAAATCGTAAATTACAGTTTTCTCAATACTGCTTGTAAATTTTGTCAATTTTAATGATGCACTTGCACTTATAAAGCACTTGCTTGGCGGTATTTGGATTTCTTTGATAGTTACTTTGATACTTATTGTTTATTTTCATATTTGAATTTCTATTGAAATATTGATTTCATCGCGTGATTAAAGCTATACAATGATAAAATTTACACTATTAAGGCGTATCTCTTCTTAATTTTTTTCATATCTAAATGTCGATTCAATTGTTTCAGCTTCATTTATAATTATCTTTTTCATTTTTGTCTCGTCTCTTGATGAAATTCAATAAAATGTGTTGACTGGATTTGTGTGCTCCAATATTGGGATAGCTCCAAGATTTATTCAAGATATTAACTTGTATCTAAAAATTGACAAAATTGTGAGCTTTTTCCTAATTGCACTGGACTGTCTTTTCGTCCTGTTCTCTCGTCAAGATCTCGAATTCGAACCATGAGATTTGGAATAACAACCGTTAATAATTCACTAGAAAACTGTCTATAAGCTGGGATATCAAACAAGGAACAATGTCAATTTGTGTATTTCATCTTGGAAAATTGATTAATTCAAAACACTCGATTATACAGAAATTTTCTCAAATTAAATTTTACGAATATTTTATGCTTATTGAATTTTAATTTATTAATTAATTAATATTTTAACAAACGACAGAAAACTTGTGCAGCATTGTTACATAATCATGTCAGAAAAGGTTTTTTTATTGTGTGAACTGGCAGATTTGATCGGCCAAATAAAGACTGCAGAAAATCTACCAGATGAAGTTCGACAGCGTGACAATTATGAGCATCATATTGGAGCAGGTTTCACATAGATACTGCAATCAGCAAAAAAAACATTGGAGTAAATTATGAGGTGCAACGGAATGATTCATACTAAGCATTCATAAATATTTACCGTAATGAACGAGTATTTATCATTCAAAAATGATTCCCCGACCCAAAAACCTACGAACGGGCTGCTCAATCGATCCAAATTAGCAAGCAACTGTCAAATATATTTCGTTTAATTTAATCTCACTGATTGAACACCATTATTAATGGGTAGGAGTTACCTTCAGTTTGAGTCTTGGTCCAATATTATAATTGTTTTGATAAATCCTGTGATAATGAGAATAAGAAGGGCCAATCTGTTGATGAAATAAATATTAAAACCTAGCGTATTATGCTGATTGTATGGTTTCAAATATTATGCATACTTTAGCCACTGATTTAGCTGCTAGATATGAACTCAAACCGATTTGAAATATTGTATTTAACCCAATGATCCCCAAGCAAAGATCAGCCAACGGGATTCCAAACAACCCAAAGTATGAGTAAAGCATTGCAGCTTGACCAGCTACACTTACAAAATTGTAAGCAGAATAACCAATGTAGCGCATCAAGCGATTGATATTGTCAAATTCGTTGAGAAATGCAATATTCTGGTTGCAAAGTTTTTTCAATGCTGAAACAGGTATGTGTTTCGACTTTGCTGATGTCTGTAAATCGCTATTAATCGCAGTTGATTTGTTAATCACATAAAAAAAGGCTATAGCATAAAGAAAACCAAGTAACTTGTGGTACAAACCAAATGATCGCAATGAGCGCAGTTACCTGCCAAAATGTATATAAACTCAAAATAGCGGCGTTTTGTAGCGCAAAGTGAAATGTTTTACAATTGACCATCAAATAATAGAAACATGTTATCCAAATTAGGGCAACGATGATTGAGGTAGTAACTATTTGTCGTGCCATGAAAACACTCTGTTGTCTCCATTTCAAGCAATATAATTCCTTCATGTTGAGCACTTCAGGTTTCCATCCATTGATCATTGCTTTATCAATCACTTTAGTCCAATCAAGGGATCCATTTCGAATCAAGTAACACGATACTGCTCTACAGCCGCCCAAACAAATGACACCACAAACACTTAACATTCGAAGTGCGTATTCATTTCTGATGCCGTTGAATTGGTCGCCCAAATATGCCAAAGTTAATAGATTATCAGTGAAGAAGCCACATATTAAACGGATAACAGTAGTCAAAGTGAATAGATCAATTGTGATGGACAAATAGGTGAACCATTTAGTCGGCGGTATTGGATGATCTGCATTTGGATTAGGTTGATAGATGAGCAAAAGCTTTCCGAAAAACATGAATGTTTGCATTGCTTTCACAGCTTCATGATGTTCAATATCTATTGCAGGCCAGCCAATAATAGCGTAAAGTAGACGGCTAAATAGGTTTATCTTTGGCTGTCTAGTTTTGATCTCATTAACAGGAAGCATTTTAACTGTGAACTTGAAATATTTTAATTGTAAAAACAAAATAAGAAAAGTTCATAGTTGCTCTTATATTTATACCCATGATTTGATTCTTTATTTATATTTTTTTCGAAATATTGATTTCATCGCGTGAATAAAGTTACAATTTTATATTTTATTTGAAATTTCCACATCTAATTTTTAATTCAAATGGATGAACTTCAATTAAGAGATGATCAATAAAAAATGGAGCTACATTTAGTCTGTAATAGCTATGTATTAATAATTAGGTATAATTTTTCGGTTTTTTGCGTCTTTAATTTTATTTTGATTATTAATGACACCTTTGTCAAGTAGATTAAAAAATTTGACATCACCGCCATTTATTAAATGCAATTAAGACAGAAAAGGTTGAAATGAAAATCTTCTGAACTCAGATAACTTCCTAATTTAATTTCTTGTCCATTTTTATGAAAATTTCTTTTCGTTTTCTTTAACTCATTTTGTTACCTCATCATTTTTTTATATCAACGATTTATTGATAACGTAACTTGATGACAGAAACTCTTATCAGTTGCAATCGAGATTTATTCAAAGTATTCATGACCCACGCTGCATGGCATTAAGGACAGTTTTAATTCAATCAAAGAACTTAAATATTCAGAAAAATCTTGTACAAGCAATAACATGGCTGAAGGCAATGGCCGACTCAGCTTGTGGATAACGAATAAAGTCTTTAACCGCCATCTGTTGATGGGAAAACTCACTGATATTCTTTTCTCATAAATATTATTCCATCGAGATCAAGCTCGGTATTCAAATATAAGAATTGCTACGAATAGCTACGAATCCTTTGTCTAGTAAGGTTTCTTTTTATTTTGCGTAAAGTCTTAAAGTCACCAATAACGCCAGATGTAACACTTACAGTAATCCCTCTCAAAATGCGACTCTTTCGTGTAATTGTCTATTTTCAAGGCAAATTGTTTAGACGTTTTTCACATGTTTTTCACCATTTCATGAATTTCTTAGTAATTCTGTTTGTTTTAATGTTAGGTTGAGATCTTTTTGAGTTGAATTAAATTATTTTTAGATATTTTTAAAATAAAAATTATTTTTTGACCGTATGAATAGACCGTTCCCAGGTAACGTCGCACTTTGAGAAGTTCGCATTTTGAGAGGGGTCACTGTATGAGCATCTTATTGAACACGTCTCACAACTTGTCAGGAGCAACAAGAACTTTTTGACTTATGCTTTATTGAATCAAGTAATACATTAACGTATGCAGAGGCTTCTTTTGTTTTACACATTTGTGAGTAATTAGTGAATTAGAGACTTTATATCAATTTTTCCAAATGAAGTTCGACATCGTAACACTTATGAGCATCATATTGCAACATGTTTCGAAAAGATACTGCAATTAGTGCAAACGATACGTTGGAATAGATTATTAAGTAAAATGGAAACATTTTAATCAAAGTATCATTGAAATTTGAGATTAATGCTTACCTCGATGAACGCCCGATTATCATTGGAAAATGATTCACCAACCCAAAAACCAACGAACGGACTGCCAAGTCGATCTAAGTTATAAAGCAACTGAAAAGACAATATTTCACAAATTACACGACGGAATTGATGAGGATAATTACCTTTAGCTTGAGTCTTGGTTCAATATTATAATTGTTTTGATAAATCCTATGATAATGAGAATAAGAAAGGCCAATCTGTTGATGAAATTTAATTGGATTAAAACTGGCGTATCTTGTGATTTTCAAGTTGATGCATACTTTGGACACTGATTTGGCTGCTAAAAATGAACTCAAACCAATCTGAAATATAGTATTGAAGCCGATGATCCCCAAACCAAGATCAGCTAATCGCATTCCAAATAGTCCAAGGTATGAGTAAAGCATAGCAACTTGACCAGCTACACTGACTAGATTGTAACCAAAATAAGAAATGTAACGCATCAAGCGGTTTATATAATCAAATTCGTTGAGGAATAAAATACTCTGGTTGCAAAGTTTTTTCAATGCTAAAGATCGCATACGTTTCAATTTTAATGCTGCCTGTATGTCGCTATAAATTGAATTTGATTTGTTGATCGCATAAAAAAAGATTATGACATAAAGTAAAGAGATCCAAATAACTTGTGGGACAAACCAAATGATTGCAATGAGTGTAATTACTTGCCAAAATGCAAAGAAACTCAAAATAAATGCATTTTGTATGGCCAAATAGAATGCTGTACTACTGAACATCAAATAAAGGAAACATGTTATCCAAATTGAAGCAACGATTAACGACGTACCAACTATTTGTCGAGCTATGAAAACACTTGTTTGTCTCCACTTCAAACAATATGCTTTCTTCATGTTGAGTACTTCAGGTTTCCATCCATTGGTCATTGCTTTATCAATCACTTTAGTCCAATCGAGTGATCCATTTCGGATCAAGTAACACGACACTGCTCGGAACCCACCCAAACAAGTTATACCACAAACAGCTAACAATCGAAGTGCATATGCATTTCTCATGCCAATAAATATGTCGCCCATATAAGCCAAAGTTCGTAGATTATCAGTTGCAAAGCAACAAATTAAGCGAATAACAGAAGTCAAAGTGCAGAGGTCAATAGTGACGGACATGTAGGTGAACCATTTTGTTGGTGGTATTGGATGGTCTGCATAAGGATGAGGTTGATATACGAGCAAAAGTTTGCCAAAAAACATGAATCTTTTGATTGCTTCCAGAGCTTTAGCATGTTCAATATCTATTTGGGGCCAGCCGATAATAGCATGAAAAAGACCGAAAATTCTTTCCTTTAGCTTTTTAATTGTGAGAATAGTGCCAATGGACATTACACTGCGATTGAAACGAACAGAGGAAATTATAAAAGGAGAAAATTTTATATTTACTCTGATATTTTTACTTATTGTTCATTTTATATTTGAATTTCTCTTGAAATATTGATTCCATCGCGTGCACAAATCTATAAAATCATTTAACAAGTGGATTTTGTAGTGCCATGTACTATCTTACATCGACTGCTAAGTAAACGAAACAAATGAACCAAATTGAAGCATGATTAATGATGTACTAACTATTCGTCGTGTAATGAAAACTTTTTTTGCCTCCATTTCAAACTGCTTGCTTCGTGTTGAACACCTCAGGTTTCAATCCATTGATCATTGATTTATCAATCTTTTTACCCCAATCATGGGATTAATTTCGTACCAAGTAACACGATACTGCTCTAAAACTGGCAAACATTTAACATTCGAATTCGCCCATATAAGCTAAAGTCAATGTATTAACAGTAAAAAGCAAAAATCAAACGAATAACAGTAGTCAAAGTGAGTCTAAAGTGACTCTGAAACCACCCAAACAAGCAACACAACAAGCATTCATTCGAAGTGCATATTCATTTCTCATGCCAACAAATATGTCACCCAAATAAGTCAAAGTTAGTAAATTATCTGGGAAAAACCAAAAGCTAAACGAATAACAGTAATTAAAGTGGTGGAGTCAATAATGAAGGATAAAAAACGGAACCGTTTGCTCGGCTTATTTGATGATCTGCATTTGGGTGATTTTGATAGAAGAGCAAAATCTTGCCGAATAACATGAATCTTTTGATTGCTTCCACAGCTTCAGAGTTTTCAACATCTATTCGAGGCCAGCCAACTGTAGCATAAAAAAGACCGCTTATTACGTTTTTCTTTGGCTGTTTTATTTTCAGTTGAGAAACAGAAGTCATCTTGTCATTGGAATCGGAATATAATAATTGCAAAACATGAGGAAAAATTTCGAGTAACTCTGATACTTGTTGTTTCATTTTACTTTTGAATTTCTATTAAAATATCGATTTCATCTATTAAATCAATACAATCATTAAAGTTGAACATTGAAGTATTAATGCATATTATTTATACTTCTTAACATTTATACCTGATCGTCAATTCAATTGCTTAAGCTCCAATTATAATTGACTTTTAGATTTGTTTTCGTCTCACCTTTTCGATGATTGAAATTCAATAAAGAGTTCTCACTAGATTGTGGCAACATCAGAAATTATTTTCAGCCAATTCGTGTTTAACTTTTGAAATTAATTTTTCATCAATTTCCATAGTTCGATTTTATTCACCTGCTTTGGGTTTAATTGCAAATAATTTATTTATGCACATTTAATCATCACATTAATGTTTACCCTTTCAGGAAATCAATTGCTTAGATTGTGAACTAGATGTTCAAATTGTATTTGAATTCACAGCTATTGAACATTGAAAGTAATGCAAAGGTCATAATGTAAAAACTTTAAATTTCGAGCTAGATTTCCATTCACGGATAAGTTAATTTTGAATCACTCCATACGCTAGAATATTGGAGTCCTCGGTGAATTCAATTTTATCGAAAACTACTGATCAAAGAATTTTTTCGATTCCACAAATAAGCTCAGTCCTTTTTTTATCGGATAAAATAATAGATTTTCGCATTATACATGAAAAGGTTTCTTTTTATTGTGGCATAATATTCATTGGTAGAAAAAATGTTTGCTTCAATTTTGCCAAATGAAGTTCGACATTGTAACAATTATGAGCATCATATTGGAGCACGTTTCGAAAAGATACTACAATCAACGAAAAAATGAAATTTTGAGGTAAAACTGAATGATAAGTTCATTAAGTATCATTAAAAGATGAAATCAAAACTTACTTGAATGAATGCAAAATTATCATTCATAAATGAATCCCCGACCCAAAAGCCAACGAACGGGCTGCTCAATCGATCTAGATTATAAAGAAACTAACAAGATGTTGATGTCAATTGCACAATTATGAGTATGCTTACATTGAGTTTGAGTCTTGTTTCAATATTAATATTGTTTTGATAAATCCTATGATAATGAGAGTAAGAAAGTCCAATCTGTTGAATTAAAACAAACAACTAAAATTAGTATTATTACTATTGAACGTGCTATATTTGTTGCATAATTTTCAAGTCAATGCATACTTTGGACACTGATTTGGCTGCTAAAAATGAACTCAAACCAATCTGAAATATTGTATTGCAGCCAATGATGCCCAAACCAAGATCAGCTAATGGCATTCCAAATAGTCCAAGGTATGAGTAAAGCATAGCAACTTGTCCAGCTAAACTAACTAAAGTGTAACCAGAATAACCAATGTAACGCATCAAGCGATTTATATAATCAAATTCGTTGAGGAATAAAATATTCTGGTTGTAAAGTTTTTTCAATGCTAAAGATCGCATACGTTTCAATTTTAATGCTGCCCGTAAATCGCTATAAACGGAATTCGATTTGTTAATCACGTAAAAAAATGCTATACCATAAAGAAAAGCAATCCAAGCAACTTGCGGAACAAACCAAATCACTGAAATGAGTGCAATTGCTTGCCAAAGTGTGAATAAACTCGCAACAAGTGGACTTTGTAGTGTCAAGTTAAATGTTGCACAATTGATTGTCAAACAAACCCAGCATGTTATCCAAACAGCAGCAATAAATGCATTTTGTAGGGCCAAATAGAATGCTGTACTACTGAACATCAAATAAAGGAAACATGTTATCCAAATTGAAGCAACGATTAATGACGTACCAACTATTTGTCGAGCTATGAAAACACTTGTTTGTCTCCATTTCAAGCAATATAATTCCTTCATGTTGAGCACTTCAGGTTTCCACCCATTGATCATTGCTTTATCAATCACTTTAGTCCAATCGAGTGATCCATTCCGGATCAAGTAACATGACACTGCTCTGAACCCGCCCAAACAAATTATACCACAAACAGCTAACAATCGAAGTGCATATGCATTTCTCATGCCAATAAAAATGTCGCCCATATAAGCCAAAGTTAATAGATTATTAGTTAAAAAGCAACAAATTAAGCGAATAACAGTAGTCAAAGTGCAGAGGTCAATAGTGACGGACAAATAGGAGAACCATTTAGTTGGTGGTACTGGATGATCTGCATTTGGATGAGGTTGATATACGAGCAAAAGTTTGCCAAAAAACATGAATCTTTTGATTGCTTCCACAGCTTTAGCATGTTCAATATCTATTTGGGGCCAGCCGATAATAGCATGAATAAGACCGAAAATTCTTTCCTTTAGCTTTTCAATTTTGAGAATAGTGCCACTAGACATTGCAGTTTCACTGCGATTGAAATGAACAGAAGAAATGTTAGAAGGGAAAAATTTTATAATGAGATAATTTTTTTAATCAGGTTGATAGATGAGCAAAAGTTTTCCGAATATCATAAATCTTCCGATTGCTTTCACGGATTTAGCATGTGCAATATCTATTTGAGGTCAGCCGATGATCGAAAATACCGCTTACGTTTTGCTTCGGCTCTGTTATGGGAGCAGCAACTGTAGACATTTATGTACGAAAACTGTTTAATTTGTGAAATCATAAAGAGAAAATTTCTTAGTTATTTCCAAATTTATGCTCATTTTAAATTTTTATATTTGAATTGCTATTGAAATATTGATTTGATCGCGTGTTAAAGCTATACAATAATAAAATTTAAACTTTGTGCCTTTGATCACATCGATCACTTAATTTATTTTTCATGTCTAATTGTCAAATAGTTCAAGCTGCCATTGCAATTGACTTTTCGATTTTTGTCTTGATTTACGCTTGAAATTCAATTTAATGTCTCGACTATATTTGTGTCAACAGTAAAAATTATTTTCAGCGACATTTTCAGTTTAACTTTGCATAATAATTAATAAATAATTTTCTATCAATTTCCACATTTCCATTTTTTTATCAGAATAATTAAATATTCATTTGCGCCCATTAATTTTAGTTATTTTTGATCAATATTGATCAAGTAAGTTGGCTTGTGATTTAAAATATTAGCATGAAAACAATAAAAGAAAACTATTCAAAAATGTTGATGCATAATAATGTGAATCGCTTTGAATTTTTGACCAAAGTTTCAAATCCAAGTTATAAACTCTGTTCAGCAATTTTTTTCGATTGAAAGAGTTGAAAATGTTCTGTTATCTTTGTTCAAATATAGATGGCATCATCAAGTTGTGAAACTTTCATTGCATGATAACAGATTCCATGTTCACTTTATTAACCAAGTTTCATCAGTTTTCTCTACGTTATTCCTTTGTTCTCCTCTTTCCTCATCATCTGAATCACTTGTGTTCACTTTACAATCTCTGTGTTTCAAGTTTTACTCATTAGCTTTTTATAAATGAAACTCAAATTCGAGTGAAAATTAAAAATTTGACCCTAATTTTGTTCTTACTGTTGAATCTTCTCGTTTACCTCACCATCTGTTGTTTAGACTGACTTTTCCGATGATCCAGTTACTTATTATTCAGACGATGAGATGGTTATGAAAAGGAAAGGAACACCTTTCGGTGGATTACGAAGTAAAAAAGGTCATCCAATTTATTCTCGAGAAGACATTAGAGAACAGTATTGCATCAACAGAAAAGAACTTCAAGTTTTCGAAGACAACATTTACCATCAAAGAGGACTTTTTGGCTGTTTATCGACAAGTCACCTTCCAGATACTAATCCATGTAACAAGAATTTATATCTCTTCTCATGTATGCAAAAAGGAAAATGTTCAACTGATTTAGAGCCAGAACATGAAGCAACCTTTAGGTGAGTCCATCAATCTTCAATTTCATTCCTTTCAACTTCATTCCAATCAAAAAAAAAAGAAAAGAAAACCCAGAAAGCAGAAAATTCATAAGAAAAATAATATCAAAAATGAAATTCGAATCGAGAGAAAAATTGAATTGTTATTGATAATTTCATCTGAAAATATTCCCAGTAAACATCCAAAGAAATTTCAAATATTTTCCAACAGAAAAAAAGAAAAATTTCAAAGTCTTTTTTTTATTGAAACTTCAACAGTTGAGTTCAGAAGAAGAAAGTTCTCATCAAACAATTTTCTATTTTTTCCTGTTGATGAATAAAATAAATAATAAATGAATTAATATTTTCCAATTCAATTGAAATTCGCTGGGAAAAAACATCTCTGTAAAGTTTAATAGAACAGAAATTCAGTCGAGATTATTTGAAATGGCAATAAATGTCAGGTGGAACAAATTCATCACCAAAATATTCAAAGTGTAAACATGATAGTTCGAAGGCAGATAAACCTCTCCCTTAATCACGAGTCTTATTGAGGTTACCAGTTTGTGTCTTGCATTGGCCATATTCATGAGCTTATCAATCCCAACCCAAAAAACTCATAAAATAACAACTCCCTGAGCCAAGCCTTTTTAAAGAAACAACTTAACCATTGTTATCAACATTTGCCAGCATTTTGCTTATTATTTTCACTTTTGTTGGTAAAAGTCAGAACAAGAAGAAAGATATCAACTCTTTATTCAGATTAATGTGTTGAAAGGGAAGAAAAAAAAAGTTAACCTTTTTTTCAACATTCTGATATTTTCTGTTTCCAGGTTAATACTAACGACATGAATGTTAATGAAAACATTATTCATAACTTGAGAATGAAAAAAGCTTGGATAATTACGACAATTCAATCCATTATTTTCATTCCTTTCAACTTTTCCTTCTTTCATTGATTCTCTCTTCAACTGATTGGATGAAATTTTTTAGGCAAAAAATTAGCTTCTCTCATTGAATCCTTTGAAATTGTCATTTCCAGGTAAAGTTAATGTCTAAATAACTTTATAATCATTTATTAACTTTGTTTAATTAAAGTTATTTGTTATTCATGAATAAGATTTAGACTCGGATTCAAGAGAAATATTTAATTTCAATTTGAAACTTGATTAGACTTTACATTTGCATTTTATTCAAATTATTTGACGATTTTCAGATTATCTTTTCACTCATTTTTTGCTGTCCAGTTTATCAATTTAAAAGTAATTTGATGAGAGGAAAAGTGGATTTTGATTATTTTTAGTTGGAGTTTGAATGGACGTCAAACTTGGAGTTTCATTAATGTGACTTGCAAGGAGTGTAAATCCGAGTTCAATATCAGTTTCCCTTGAGATTATCATTTGCTTATTATCATTGCTTTATCTTGATAATTCATTTCAACAGATTGAATCGAATTACCATCATTTTGGAAGAGTTGAACTGAAAGGTTTTCAGCGGTCAATTAAGCACATTGACAATTTGATTACTCTTCTATTCGATTCATCTTTTTTTCTCTCTCGTCTGGATAATTTGCATTTCAATTTTCTTTATAAAATGTTATAAAAAATTCATTTTCAAAATGAAATGGCTTTTTGAAATGTTGTCCACTCATGAGATATTATTCAAAATACTTTTCAAATCCCTTTTCGTTGATTCAATGAAATATTGCTTTTATTGTCTTTTAACGTTTGCTTTGCTTTTTTGCACTTTGCATAAACTAGAAATCGAGTTATTGATAAATCTGGTTACAGGAATGATGAAGAAGATGAAGATTCGGATGGAGGTTTCAAAAGAAGACCCAAGCCTAGAAATCTTGCACTGTTGGAGTCGAGGAACTGTTGGACTGGACGATTTACAGGCAACAGCTCATCCCATTTCCGAGCCAATGAACGACTTCCAGTCAGCACAAGTCAGCCAAGTGGTATGTTTCAATCTAAAGATGAAAATGCAAATTCTGCTGTTTTCATTTCTATTTATGTTTCTTTAACATTCAATTCAAAAGTTTATTCAAAAAGAATATTTTCTCAAAAGATTGATAGATTATATTAAGTGCATGATCTTTACATAAAGAACACCAATTTTTGTTTCTTAACCGAAAATGACCGAATCATTAGTGCAGTACGAGAAGCAGTTAAGCATTTTATTTTTCATGCAAAAACTTATAAACATTTTTGAAACTTTTCAGCCAAACAAATGCATTTTTATTGATTGCAAATCATTATATTGTAAATCGAAATTGTTGCTGCTAATATTTTCTCGGAAAAGTTAAGATCAATGAATGTTCATTAACAGCCGACCTTTTCTAAATTGGTTCCAGACATGACATTAAACTGTAAAGTTGAAACTCAAGGTTTACGGAATAAAAAAATGAAAAGCTCTAAAAGCTTTAAATTATCGAAATTAATGTTCAGCTGCAACGAAATTGGAGTCTGGTTCAACACAATTTTTTCAAATAACTTTTCCATTTCAAAGTTGTTTTCCTCTTAAGATGAAAATGCATTTGTTTTCAGTTTCATTCAAAATTAAGAAGAAAGGTTCAAAAGTCAAGATTGAGAGGAAAAAAGCTCAATGTCTTAACTCAAACTGTTTTATTTCATAAACTTGCAAGTTTTGCGTTTTCTCGAGCAAAATGTCGAAGTGTGCTGGAGCAAGCAAATTTTCACTACTGTCGTCTTTGATGATGCAGCCTTTGACGAACTGTTTATCAATTGTTCTTACAGAATTCAATGAAGGATATAAATTGAACCATAAACAAGGAGTTCAACAAAATAGACCAAATTTGCTCGATTTCAAAGCATCAAAGGTGAATAACAATTCTTGACGAAAAATATCTTTAGTAACACTTTTTCCATCAACTTTTCTTCTAGGATTCACAACCTTTTTCTTCTTCTTCAAGTAAAAGTGTCGATGAACTCAACAATAGCAACAGTAATGGTAACTCATTAAGCGATTCATGGGCAGTGAGAACAGGTTCATCTGCTTTACGTCCATCCAATCCAGGGGCAAGCAAAGTGGACTATCCAATCGACCAGCGTGACGAGAGAACTAAACATGTGAGCTTTGATTGTTCCAATTTAATTCGAAGTAACACAGTTGCCTCTGGACTTGAAACACCGTGCAACCCATCAAGTTCGTCAGCAACACCAGGCAATACCCATGATCACTATCACCTTCAACAACAACATGTTCATCATATTCACCCAACAGATTTATCATCACATCGATACAGTTTATCTTCAGCTTTGGCCAACACAAGTACTAGTTCAACCTCAATGGATCCATTTCTCAATCAACTGTCACCCGATCCATTGAACAGCAAAAACACACTGCTCACCCCGCGATCATCGTATCCTGCCTCAGTATCCGGTGCCAATTACCGTCAGTCTAGCCAACATTCATTTACTTCCAATAATCTTGGAACTCAGTCACAGGAAAGACTGATTACCGGTTCATTTAGATCCATTGAAAGATGCGAATCAATTGGCAACTCTTCCCTGTTCCTGGTTAACCAGCCTAATCATCTCAACTGTCAACCTTATTTCAATCCAGTCTCATCATTAACTCAACCAAATCAACAGCCAACAACACCAATTGGTAGTAAACAGTCACAGGTTCGTTCAATAAGACGAGTTGTAATGAAAACTCATGCAACTCAAACTGAAAGTTCATTACCTTCAGGCAATCATCTGACTGACTCATCACCTTTGCCCGATTATCTGACTTTGTCTCCTCGAGCTTCAGGTTCCAAGTCACCCAGTAAAGAGGATAATTGTGATGCTGAGCCAGATGCTCATTGGAATCGATTGCCAAATAAGTTTATTGATCACGATAATGATTATGAGACCAACTCATCAACCTTTTATGAGTCGAGTAAAAACTTTAGCTGCTCTTCCCATCAACACAGGCAACAATACTCACAACCTCAAGTTCAGTATAAAACTCAGCGAGTCCATCGTGCTCATGCTCATTCCCATCATCATCACTCTTATAACCATCATCAAGCCTCAAATAGGCGAACCAGAAATGATAATGTAAATGAAAATGTAAATAACATTGGAAAAGGTAATCCTAGTCGTTCCAATAGTTGTTTATCTTCATCGTCTCAGGTTGACAGTGATGATGAGGATGAGAATGTGAAAAATAATGAAATGGTAAACCTTGATGGGAGAGAAGCAAAGGGAAGGGATAAAGTTCGTAGCAATTATAATATGCAAGTTAAAGAGTTTATTTTAGAGGAAAGACAATCCAAGGTTAGAACTCGAGTTCGAATGAAGGTCCAGCGAAGCCTGTCAACTTCAATTGATGACACCGAGTTGGCCAAGGAAGTTGATTGGCATTCAACGCCAGCACCAGTCCAAGCAAGTGCATCTGCTTCAATAGCGAAAAATGGGGTCCAAAAAGAGTGTCCAAGTGAAGCTCATTCCAATGAGCTTTCAACCAAATTACCTTTAGCACAACCTTGTGTCATCAAGTCAATATCCATTGATCAAATGAATGAACACACCAATTATCATTCCCTATCCAACCTGGATGGATCCAATACTGAGACCAATCACATTTCCTCCCTTCGTGATATCGGCCTTTATCGACGTCATTCGGTTGCAGCCGACTTTTTTACTAGTCCAAATGGTCCAGTACTGTATCCACCGCCAGGATTTGAAGATGGTTCAAGTCCAACTGCAGATTGCAATGAGTCACCTGCTCTTGGATCGTATGAGGTGCGTGACGGAAGAAGTGCATCAAGCAGCTCTTCGAGCAAAGCTTTCGTTTCGGGTGAAGGGACTGATGAAGGTGATCATTCATTGACTGAGATGGATGATGACTACGACTCGCCTACACTGATTAGTGATCTGTCAAGTGCTTTACTCACACCTTCTAAGCAAGGCTTGTCCAAGGGAAAAGAAAAGGTTAAGAATGTTTCAAGTTTCAAGGAAAAAGTGTCTTGGGATGAAAAGACTGGCGATGCAAATGTTCATGTTGATATTGAACAAGCCAATCAACTGAAAGAACCAGTTAAACGCTTATCTTCGGAAAGCTCAGTGACCAACAATTCTGCCATTTCTTCGCCAGTAAAAAGTGAACCTTTTGATAATGAAAATGAAGTTCAATTTTTGAATGAAACGGAATGCTTTGACTTTTCTTCTAAACCAATTGTTCGGAAAACATCAGGAAGTGGTTCATCCATTTATAACACGGCTAATGAAGAGTCACCCAGAGAGGAAGATGATGAGGATGAAGATGAAGGAGGAAAAGAAAATGTCGTTAGAAGAAAAGGTTTCGATGAAAGTGAATACCAAGAGAATGATGATGAAAAGGAATTTATTCAGCCATCATTGTCTTCCACTGAACAAAATGATTCAACTCTAACGATTAAATCCGTTTCTCCATCAACCAAGGCTGACGGTGAAGTCGAATTGAATAAAACTCTGTTCGACTCTCAAACTGAATCAAAGGTAACCATTGAAATTAATCTTTTCTTTTGTTTCATTTTCTTTTCAAATTAGATTGCAATCAAAGTTATAATTTGAGTCGACATTTTGATATCAAGTCGAGTTTGCTACAGAATCGAGAAAGAATCACAATTTCCAACTCTAATCATGTTCCTGATGTGATACAAGACAATAAATAAAGTTGAGCTTTTTTTCTGTGTCAACATGAAACTATTAGAAAATTAGATTCTCACCATCATTTATCAATTCATGATATTTGGAAGGAAAAAAAGTCAGAGAATTAACTGAATCCCAGAAAATTGGGTGAAAAAAACAATGTAAATTGAAAGAGAAAAGAGGAAAAGAGAGAAAAAGAAAAGCTCATGAAAATGATGGAACAAGTCAATTGGAAGAATGGAAAGAAATTGACAATGGAATAGCAATTAAAGTTGCTCATGATTATCTGAATGAACTAATTGAAACTCGAATTGAATGGAAAGGTAACTTTGATTGAATCAACAATATGAATAGCAAATGGATTGATGTTCAATTGGCAAACAAATTATTATAATGAGAACATTTACTCGACTGTTTCCAATGAAATTTGTGATTACTTTTGATTACATCTTGTCAATATGGTTTCATGTTTTCATATTCATTTATCCAGCTCTTTTCTATCATGAAATGCATTTATTCGTTTGTCAGTTTTTCGGGTTCATCATTTTTCGTTTTCACAAGAGAAATAAGACTTTTCCAAGGAAAAAAAATTCTCAATGATGATGGTAATGATAATGATGATGAGAAATGGTTTGCTGTGCGATATTGTTAACAAATATCAAACTAGTCAAGAGTTTTTCCTTCTTCAGTTTGCCTTTATTGGTGAATTCATGAGAAATAAAGGAAAGAAAGGAAAAGATGAGCAAGAACAAGTTGATGATGGAACTCGAGAAAAGGGAAACCAGAAGGTTATTGATCGAATCTGATGAGGATCATCACAGATACATGGATTGTAATCAATCTGGAAAATGCCAAATAATATTTGAAATATGATTTTCTCTTTCGAACAAAAAACATTTATTCTTTCGTTGAAAATTCCATTAATCTTTCATGCAAATTCACAGCATTCCAAATTCAATTGTAAATATTTTTGATTCTTGGTCAAGCAAAGTAGAATTTTTTTCTCTCGAAAGAATCATCTTTTAGCCTAAAGACATTATCTGAAATAGAAGACTGAAAAACGAAAATAAATCTTTTGAAAATTCTGTAATTCGATAACAGGAAACTTGCTAACATTAGACCAAACAATTAAAGTTAAAATGGATAAAAATTGAATCAATGATTATTTGAAAATGAAAAAATGTAACTAAAATTTGATCTGATTCAATCCTTTGGTGAACTCCCAGTGAGAATAATTTTCCCTCCCAGATTAAACTTTGATATTTGACAATAATAAATGTTTTTTAAATTACTTTGTAGTGAAAATGAATATTTTTGAATAAAACTTGAAACGTTTTACAATTCAAACTAAAGGTTAATCTTGGATTGTATGATGGATGAATAAGTATTAGAACAATTGACAAAAATTTTAATGAATTGAGCGAGAAAACATTCTCACTGAGTGTGCTTAGAACCCATACATTTGAATGTTATATTTCACTCTCTGAAAAGTAACAATAAGTTTGAAGCATTGACTATCAATTTATAGATAGTTTGTGAATTGGCGAATTATTTGCTTTAAGATGAATCTATTTTCTTGAGTTGGTTGACCAGAGATGAACATAGAAAAGACTGAAGCACAGATTAATCCAAATTCAGTGAGGTTTATTACTCTTAATCGGTTCGAATTGTATATTAAGAGATTAATTTGGATTTGAGTTTGACTAACGAAGTGAAACATTTTATGGCTGATTGTGACCACAGTTTCCTAATGTTTGGTATTTTCCAGATTTCCAGACAATCTTTCATTGAAATGAAGGATTGAGGTTAATTCTGTCACTCCTTTCGATTTAAAAGAAAATCAAATAATTTCTGTTTCCACACAATTTTGCTCATTTTAATGGGAACGCAGTTGCAATTGGTTATTGAATGAAACAATTTAAATTATTATCCATTCAACATGAAGATAATTGAGTTAATGAAAATGTTTACTTTGTTTGGGTTTCTTTTGATTTAAAATTTCCTCCCTTCTCTTCACTCCCATCCAAATGTAATTATAGTTGCCGGGAAAAGCCAGTTGATAGGAAAGAGGAAATAAGTTTAAACCTAAAAATACTTCGAAGTTTTGAGTTTTTTTATTCCATGAAAAGAGAAACGAACTTATCATTCCCATCTTCATAATCATTCTTTATCTTCTTTCCCTTCCCAGGGTTAAACTTAAACTGTTTACAATAATAATGAGGTTAGAAATTATTCAGATAATAACTATTCTGATAATGAATTCTGCAACAGGGAAATCCATTAAAATCTTGATCAACATTGTACAAGGAACAAAGAAAAGCAAAATTCTGCCTTTTATGTTTAAAATTTAAATGGTGAACGATTCAAGCAAAATTCAGAAGCTAAAACATAAACATTGGAATAATAAAGAAAACTTTTTTCATCTTCATTGAAATTCTGATATTCACTTAAAGCGATATAAGTTGACGAAAAGAAAAGCGAAAAATGCAAAATTTCCATCAAAATATTAGTTTATGACGAAATCTGGTTTCAATAAATCGATTATCTATTCAGTTTTGTGAGAAACTTTTTCGCTCATTTTCTCGACGAAAAAACTTTTCTTAATCTTTCGTTCCTAGGAATGTTGACAGAATTTCATTTCAAGAAATGGTCAGTAAATGGACTTGAGTGAGAAATAAATTCTAATCTATTAGTTATTAGATAACGAATGTGAAGGAAAAATTAATGGCTAATAAAAATGAATTCCCTGAATTTCAGTGGGCAGAAACAAAAAGAATGGAATAAATGTGCACTTTTTGCCGTTAATTGACATTCAGTCAACTTTGTCTTTTCATGAGCCACTCATGATTACCCTTTTCATCTTCTTACTTTTTTCCATCAAATTATATCAGGTTATCACAATTATCTGGGTCAAAGTGATTATTTGTTTATTAATAAAAATGCTCTTAACATGTCTTTATAATCTCAACATGAGATGCTCAAGTCAACTCATTCTTTCAGAATTTGCAATATTTTCTCTTTTCTTTTGTCTCTTTTTTTTGCTCCCTTTCTTTCGCCTCTGTTGACATGATAAGTTGTTTGATGAGAAACAGAATCTCGATAACCACAGATGAAAGGCAAACAAGTTGATGACAAAATATAAGTCACAAAAATCATGATAATCTTGAATAAATATAGACTGAAAGGGAAAGAGAAAAAGCAACAAAAGAAAAATCAGAATAAAGATGGTCCAAGTGTCAACATATTGACCTTGATCTGTCATTCAGAGATTCATGATGAAAGAGAAAATGAATTTGTCAAGGAATGGAACAAAAAGGAACAAAGAATCATCTGAACACACGATAAATCAAAGCAATCGGCAGTTCAGAAGAAAAGGAAAAAATTTAAATTCATAATTTTTCCAATGAAATAATTCGTCTAATCGCAAAGTTCATCTAAAGATGTAATTTCTTTTTCCATGCAATTCACCAAATATTCAAATGTTGAAATGAGTTAATTCTAGTTTCCATCAAGTTGAAGAATGAGATTATTTATTTTGATGAAAATTTGAAAACAACTTTTCATTTCCAATTTCGATTGAATTTTGAAATTGGTTAAACAATTTGTTTCATGGTTCAATAAAAAGTATTATTCCGACTGTAAATTTACTTTATCAATTTTGTTAACATTTCAATTCAAATATTGAACCAGTTGATTTGGAAGTTATCAGCAAGTTGAAAGTTTAAATGCTTTTCTGTTTTTAAAACATTTACAGGGAGTTTAAGTTATCAGTGTTGATATTGAATTGATGATTTGGTGATGAAAAAGAAATCACAAGATATTGTTGATAAATGATTACATTAATTGATCTTCTGTGATTCCCTGCAAGAAATGAGATTCTTTTCAACTTGTTTTTTCTCTGATCGTTATTTCTTCTTTCATGGATATTGTTGAAAATGATTCAACTGTTATTGTAAGAATTGTAAAGAAGGGAATATTATTGAATGTGAATAGAAGAGAGAAAAAAAGTCAAAAGAAATTTGATTTAGTTTATGTTTCTTTATTTTCAGGGTTGAATTTATTTGAAATTTTGAAGGATTGCTTCAGGATTCCCAAGGTTCACTTTGCAGTTGCTTTAAGTAACTCCAAGTGTTTCCTTGTGAAAAGGGTCAACTGGGATAACTTGGAAAAGAGCAAGAAAATGAAGGAAAATTCAATGATGATCATGTCGATGAGAGAAGTGAAAAGAGAAGCTGGACAAAGGAGAAAACAAGTGAAAAGGAACGCAAAGGAAGAGGAAAAGGAAGCAAATTTATCGCTTCTAATTGAATTCATCATCAGGCTTGTTCCAATGCTTTCTAAGATGATTTTATCTTCATTTTCATCTCAAGATTTTTATCGATATCCTTTTCATTATTCTTCTAGTTTCCAACTTCCTCTTTACCATGCCAATCACTTCGATCCTTCAATTAACATGAATTTTCCTTGTTTGTCTTTCAATCTTTTTTATTCATTTTAGCTCAACATTGAAGGTTGAAAGTAAAAGGTGTTCATGAAGCTGCTTGACTTTACGTTTACAGTTTATCTTCGAGTATTCGTTTGCAATTTCCATGAACCATTTCGTTCCAAAAATTTTATTGCTTATTAGTTATGAGTTGAAGTGATAATTTCAAAATTGATTTTTGAGCCCCAATACATCATGGAATTGAGAGATTTTAAGTTTCTTTTGATGTCTTTAGCATGAAACTCAGTGTTGATAAAGAAAAGCTTTTTATATTCATGTTTTCATTTTCATTATTTGGTTTGCTATTCCAGTCAATGCTGTAACTGAATTTTGATGAAAACATTTTCAATTCGATTTTCCATTAAATTTTCTATGATCATGCTTTCATCAGGATATGTGATTCAACTGAACAATGTTTCTAATATCTTTTTGTCCAATAACCAACTGATTACTTTCAAATGTATTATTTTACCTCAGCTTTAAAGATTATGTCTATTCTCATTGGCTTATAAACTCTTAATTTTGGGATTTCTCGAAGATCTTCACCTTTTTCGCTTTCTCATTCAATTTAAAAGCTGTAAAAAGTTCGGAAGTAATTTTGGCATTTTTCTATCATTTTTGATAGCAGGCTTTTAAACACTTTATTGAATGCTTTTGAACGATGAATGGCGAAATGAAGTGAGAGATAGTTTTCATTCTGTAACTTGATGCATTCTTTTGATGAATTTGTTGAAATATAAGTCGTTCAACGAAATTTTTTTTGTCTTTCAGGTTCTACTAACTCCGATTGGATTGCGAGTTAGACGAAAATCTGGTTCATTGAGTAATAAAAGTGGAAATGATGATAAGCTTATTGATTTGGGTTCAAGTGATGTTGAACTTGAATGTACTGGTTGGCGCAAAGAGCTTGTCGAATCTCCTCTTTCGGATTCTTTGATTTCCAAAGGTTCTTCAGATCAAGAGCTTGATTCGGAAACTCAAGGTGTCAACAGTGAAACAGTTACTCCTATTCATGAAGTTTTCTCATCAGATCCTTCCTCAACAGGACGTGATTATGCCACAATCGTTGAAGTTGCAAGAATAGCTTCAATGGGTTCACCAACATCAACAGAAGTGACAATCAAGTCGGAAGAAGAAGAAGAAGAAGAAGAAAACGAAAGTGAAAATGTACAAAAGTTTGAAGATGATAAGAATAGGTTAGAAGATGAAATGGAATTGAAAACGAAAAGAGTAAACATGAATTTGGAAGAAAAGAGGAAAGAGAATAATTCAAATAATCCAAATGAAACTGGTCAAGGATCAGAAGAGAGTTCAATTGATACTTATGAAGTAACACTGACCACAATAACAATGGGAACAGGAGCTTCATCTTCAACAACAACAGCAACTTCAAATTCAAATGATTCAACCAATGCTGGTGAAGATAGTGAAGGTGATCCAGTTGAATCGGATAATTTGGACATTTTCTCGTCAGATAATAACAGTAATAATACAAATGAGAAGGAAGCCTTTTCATTGACTGCATTGGGATTGTTTTGTAGACGCACCTTGTCGGGCGAATTATCCACTGTATCTGAAGTTTCGGAAGAAATTTCAGGCCTTAAATCACTTGAGCTTTCAGGTCAATCAGTTTCACCAACTCCAGGTCTTAAAGAGTCATCTTCATCAGAAGGAACATTAAATAACAAGGAAGACGAAGTGTGTGAAGAAGGTGAAGAGGATCAAAAGAAGGATCAGATTAAGCAAAGTGATTGTGTTCAAAAGAAGGTTTCTTTATTGGAACTTCCTGACAGAACTGAAGTCAGTTCACCTTCTTCCTTTTCCGATTCAACAACATCGGGTTCATTCTTGATCGATGGTCAACCAGAGTCTAACTTGCCGGATGACCAGTGTGAATCAAAGACTCCAACTGAAGAAACTATTGAAAGGGAAATTGATTCAACGAAATGTGATCATTTCAATGAGAATCGTAAACGAGTTAAACTTTCAGAGGAAACTTCAATTCTTGGTGAATCAGTTGAGGAGCAAATTGGTGAAATGGTTGACGATGATGATGATGATGATGATTATAGTGATAAGTGTAAAGGCTATCATTTAATGGAGGAAAGTGAAGAAGTTAAAAGTAATAATCATCAAACTGGTGTTCATTTCGATCTATTGGGTGATAAATCGTCTGGGAATAATAACGTTAAGGAAGATGAGAGGGAAGAGGAAGAGAGAAGGATGGACAATACGGGTGGTGAATCATCACAGGCTACTGAACAGGATATGGCTCGTTTGGAATTTTCATTGACCCAGCAAAGTTCCCAGGAAATTGATGAGGAATCGTTATCGATGGGAACTCATCATAACAATAAAGGTGTAATAACAGGATCACAGGTTCACCATGCAATTGAAATGAATTCATATTCCCATGAATCACCAGTTCCATGTAAAGAATTTCAAGAGAACCTCAACTCTACTCCCAATGAAACCAACAATAATAGTAATGAAACTAATAATGTTCCAAGTAATGCTAATAACAATAATAATAATAATGGTGATAATATTTTTCCAGAAGCTTCAAGTGGACTTCAAGGTTCCAGTTTAAATAAGAAATTGCGATTTATTGAGAGTAAAAAGAGTGCGTCGATGGGAACATCAGTGGACAGAAGTGATGTTGAAAGTTCAGTTAAAATGAGTGATGAACAACAGCAACCCAACAACCATCATCATCATGATAATAAACTAGTGTCTTCTCGTCCAACTGGAGTAGCCAAGGTTTGTGCAAACAACGGTAAGCGACCACCGTTAGAAAGGCGAACCCGATCATTGACTCGCTCACCGGGTAAATCACTCAGTCCAGTCCCATTGTGTACCCACCAGTTTACCTGTAACCATTGTGGTGAAAGTGCTTCCCATGGTAGTCCATCAACAACAACCAGTAGTCAACCCAGTCCAAGTCAAGGCTCTTGCAGTGCTCTAAGCACATCTTCACATGGGACTCGTAAAGGAGCCACTCGGTCACCCCATCCATACCGCAAGTCAGCCACCATTGAAGACATGTTGAGCTACCGTAAGGACGATGATGAAGACATTGGAGTTTATTCGGATGCTTACAAGTCATGCCCATGGTTTTACATTGGTCATCATGATGAGCTTCGTGTTTGGGGTCAACGTAGACTTGACAAACAAGAGCAAGTTGACGAGGCTTGCAAGGGGCGAGACGGTTTAACCGAGAGTCCACAGGGTGACATCGAGTCAACACCTTCGGAAAAGGGATTCAAGAAACACTATGAAGCTGTAACTCACCGAATGATTCATCGCAAGGCTTCCATTGAAATGTACAAGAAAATTTTGGACAATGCGTTTAGTAAGTGTTTAGCAAAATGCAACTTTTTCCTTGTTTCTCTTTTCATTTGTAAAATCATTTTTCTTTGTACTTCTTCCTTTTAGATGTTGAAAAGTCTGTTATAGTTGAACGTCTCAATGGTGAATTTGGATTCAGAATCCATGGGAGTCGTCCTGTTGTTGTCTCTGCTATTGAAAGAGGTAAGAAAAATTGTTCATGTTTCAACTTTCACATGGATTAAATTGTTGATAACACAACTTTTGTTGACACTTTTCGTTTATATATTTTCTTCTTTTTCCTCTGAAATGATTTCATTTCCTTTTCTCTTCGTTTATCTTCTTTTCCCCTGTCTTTACCAATTTAGGAACTCCTGCTGAAAGTTGTGGCCTTGAAGTTGGTGATATTGTTGTTAGTGTTAATGATATGAATGTTCTTGATGCTTCCCATTCTGAGGTTGTCAGATTAGCTCATGCAGGTAATGTAACACATAACAAGTTAAATTTAAACGCACGATAATAACATTCGGAAATTATGCTTTTGCTTTTATCTTCATTTCAAACAGGATCAGAAACGTTGAAACTTGAACTTGTGCGAACCTGTCAAAAATTGAAATCAGCTTTGAAAGAGTTGAAAGATGACGATGAAATATTCAGTGGATACTTGAACCGTAAATCACCCAGCTTAATGTCATCCAATGTTTCAAATGAATCTCTTTGCTGGAAGAAAAGGTGGTTTGTTTTGAGGCCAGATTATTGTCTCTATTGGTACAATCAACCAAAGGTTTGTCTCGATATTTCAATCTCTTTATTGATGTTATTCATAACACTGGCATGAGTTATAAACCGATAAAAGTTCAATGTTGTTTAACGATAAATCTTAGTTTTATAGTTTTTAGAGAAAAGAACCAAAGAATTGGACTTTTGAAATTGCAAATTCTGATTAAAAATTGATGGGTTTAACCCATTCAATGGTTTCTTTAGTACCTGAAAACCCAGAAATCAATATCAAAATGCATGAACCGAAATCAAGTTCATTTCCATTGACAAGTTTTGCTTGATTTTCGTAACTTCATTTTATTCTTGGAGTTGAGTTGCTTGATGGGAATAAAAGAAAGTTTAGTTTTGTTTATTTCTTGTAAAGAAGTCTAAAAAGTGAGTTATTAGAAAGCAATGAATCACGAACTAGGCATTGTTGACGTTCAAACGACGATATCTTAATTTTCTTGTACTACAGTGAGTTTGAAGGATAGTGTTTTAAGCCTTTTTTGTGGTTCAATTGACCATTTTGATCGATTCTTTCCACAATTGATCGAAAGATGTAAGACTAGAAAAGAAGTTAAAAGTTTCCTTTTGATCTTCTTTTAGGTTATTTGACAACGAAAACAAAAGTAGAGCAGGATTGATCTGTACTTCATGGAATTAACTGTAAAAAATTTCAAAGCTGATTGCCTTTTTACTCACAACTTGCTAGTTTTGACAGCGAATCCAAAGTTTTCATTTAATTTGTTCAAGAAGAACGCTTTTTTGTGAAAAAAAAACTAAAACTGGAGCATAAAAAGTGCGTCAATCTTGTTTTCTTGAATTTATCACTTTTCTCAGCAACATTGTTAGCTTTTTTACAATATCGTTAAATGATGCCAGTTAAACTTTAATCTGAAAAAACGGACATTAATCTTGTAAACAACACTTTAATCAACACTTCACGATTTAGTTTTCAAAAAAAGTCTATTCGAGCATTAAATTGTTTTTTATAAAATTTGACGTTTAACGCCATAAAAAATGGTTCAAATCTTTTTTCGTTTTCAAAATTTTCTTTCAAAAAACATGGCAATCCCGATTTTCGAATAACCTTTTTAGTCAATCCAACCAGTAGCTCGAGAGTTCAATTAGCTTATTAATTTGCTCAATTGTCAAGGTATTCATTCAATTTTATTTGTGCAATAAAATTGCTCCAAATGCTACATGAAAGGTAATCAATTCTGCAAATTTGATGCAAATTGAAGCAGACTGAATGTTTTTAGCGAAGCAATTTGGAACATGTAGCAAAAAATTAATCAGCGAAAGTGATTATTCATCATGAATGTATCATCTGAATCAACATTTTTCAACAGTACGATTGGAAAGTGAAGAATGAGTGAAAAAGGAACAGAAAAAACTTGGCTCTTTACTTCATATTTGTTTCATCCAAAGTGATTTTCTGCTGAAAATTAAGTTTTTGATTAAATTTCGTCCCATTTATTCTTCTATTTTTTACTCTTGTACAGACCATTGATCCTTTAGGAGTAATAAACCTACAAAATTGTACAATCACATTGATACCTCCATCCACAGTGAACCATTGTGAGAATCGTTATTTACTTCGGATCGACAAAATGGATGGTCCATCGAACTACTTAAGCACAACAGTCGAAGAAAATGCTCAACGTTGGTTACAACATTTATCATCGGCAGCCAACAAAGTTAGTCGAGTAAGTTCATCCAAAAGTCCAATCATTTTAAGTTGATCATTCGCTTACAACCTTTGGCTAAAAATTAAGTTGCAAAAGGTTCTGATGGATATAATTCGATTGTTTTTCAATCAATACATTTTGTTATAATTTTTATTGCTACTCTAAAGCCATTATCTTCTCTTGGCATAGCATAAACTTTTTCATTATGTTAACTCACTTTAGATCCAAGATGAGCCGAAATATTCAGAGTCAATTCTGAGTTAATTTTTGGTTCTCTTGCTTAATTTCTGGATATTTCAAGGAAGAAATCAAAAAGGCTCAGCTCAGCAAAAGCAATGGAATCTTTATGGAAACGACTTGAATACAAAGTTCAGAAAGTTTAGAAATATTTTCCTAGCATTTCCCTATTAACTCAATGTAACATAATTTTTAACCACAGGTTAAAAACGACAAAAAATTGATATTTGCATTTGTACAAGCGAATCAGTTTCTAATTCAATCAAGAAATTAGCTTGAAAATTCACCCGCTAGCAAAGTCTTATTCGTATTCAGTCCCAGCAAAGAATCCAAACCTTGAATTTTCTCTCTTTTCAACGATTCCTGTCATCTTCATCTTTATCATCTCAACCATCTTCATCCTTTTCGTCCACTTTTTTTGCTTCTTTCTTTCTACCTAAATGAGTTTTATTCCATCAAAAATTCTTTCATTTTTTGCTCATCTTTCACCTCACTCATCATGTTTATAGTGAACTGATTTTTAATCAAAAATTGATTGAATAATCGTAATTGATCAGCATTTTTTCTTCTTTTCTTTTCTCTTTTAGACCAACTCTTATATTGAAAAAACACTTCGCTGTATACACATTAAACCTTTAGCCATAAAAGACTTCGATTGTCGAGGTTATCTCGGAATTTTTGGACAAAAACGGAAACTTTGGAAGCAAAGATATTTTGTCCTTAAAGACGCCTGTCTCTATTCATATATAGATTTATCATCATCAACAGCTTTAGGTAAGAAGATGAATACAATAGAAGATGGTGAAACAGAAAATCCTTTTTTCTTTATCCAAACAATTTAAACTGCCTGACAAGTTATCCAACAGTTTTGTGTAACAATGTCAAGAATAAGTTCATTTCTGTGTTTATCAAGTAATAAAAATGTTATCAGTGTAACAAAAAGAACAAAGTTACATTATCATGTTAGCTTATTGGATTGAATGGATGAAAATAATCGGTAAAGAAATGCTATGAAAAGAAGGAGAAAAAGAAGAAGAATAAAATAGAAAAGGCAGAATTTCCATGAAAAGCTGTTCAACAACATCTGACTGATTCTTGAGCTGATGAGACAGAAATTTAAGAGTAAAATTTTGTCACAAGATTGGCCAAGAAGAATGTTGAATATTGAATGAACAAAAAAACTTCACTCGGAAGTAATGTGATATTCCATCTTTCAATCATGTTTTCTAGACTTTTTGTTACTTTTAGTTCGAAACTTTTTTTTATCGTTTCCTTTCATTCTCACCCTTTTCAGCCTCATTAAAAGATATTTTATCACACTTTTTTCAGGAGTTTTTTATCTTCACGGATGTAAAGTTCAAAGTACTTCATTGGCTGGTAAACGTAATACATTTGAGATTATTCCTTGGGATCGAAAAATGAAACATTTATGGCTCATGGCTGAATCTGAAATTGACAAGAAAAGGTATTTGCACAGAGAAAAAAAAGAAAATATTGAAGTTCGAAAAAAATGTTTCCACTTTACTCATTTAAAGCTTCATACATCATCGAAACATTACAAGTTGCTCAAGATTTTTCATGTTAATTGATAATAAACTTTTTTATTTTCCTTGTTTTGCTTTACAGAATGAGTCAGTTCATGAAGTTAACAAATTTCAAAAACGATTGAAACTGATTAATCGCAAGATACAGAATTGAATGAAATCCATATTATTTTGATAGCCTTTTCATCATTTTCCATGTCTGTAGTTGTCAGAATTTTTTGCCGTTTTTCTTTTGATCAAATGCTCACAATTCAAGAGATGAATTTTCTTGATCCTTTTCATTGTTTCGTTTTTAGATGAGTGCCTTTTCAAATGTAATAACTGTTTATTAATTTCATCTTGAAATCAATTTATGTTTCCATTTTACTCCCAGTTCCAACTCCCAGTCTTGTTGCAACTTGAGTGTTCAACTTTTATCAAATTATTCCTTTTTTCGAGAGGTTATTAATTGACCATCATGAGAAGGAAAACATTTTTTTCTGAGCAAACATTTTGAGAAACTGTTTGGTTTATTCCAAGTGATTGGTCAACAAAACAATTAACTTTTCTTTTGCTTCTCAGATGGCTGGCTGCATTGGAATATTCAATTGATCGCTGGATTAAATTGAACTAATCAATGAAACTGTTAACAATTTTGCGGATAATTTTGTGGATTCAAGTTGGGTTCATTTGATTATCTCAAAGACTTTGGTCAACAGAAGTCCCTCCAAACATACAAATGAAATTACTAATTGTAATTACAGAAGATCTATCCAATCAATTTTCATCCTCTTCCAATAATTATATCAATACAATTTAAATGCCCAATTTGTGTAAAATACTTTCCACTCTCATCAAGAAACCTTTAGTAACTTTTAATTAATCTGATTATTCATTTAATTAATTTTACAAATTCTAAAGTAATCTTCTTTCATCATGTACATATAACACATTATTGATATGCAATTTTATTCCTATTAATACTTGATTGTTATAAATAATGAATATATATCTATGTTTATATTAGACTAATTGTTGATGCAATTTTATCTTGTTTTAATAATGTAATAAAAATTTTAAAAATAAAACATAAACAATATACAAAAGTATCAAATTATCATTTTCTTTTAATTGAAATACTGCAACTGTTTTGGTCTTAAAATTTTGGGTATTTTATCATTTAATCACGGTGGACGAACTAAAGATAATGCGAATGCTGTTTGTAATGCCTCTGACTTAAGTTGAGGGGCTACTGCTAAAGCTAGCCATTTTTTGTTTTTGTGCCAGCTTTTAATCATAACTCAATAGATATTCTTGATTGAGTCCAGTTATTGTAACCAAGCACTTGAGTTGACTGGTAATGTTTTGGGATAATCTGTTTACAAAAATGCTATTATAAACTTCAACGTTTTACTCAATAAGTTTATACACGATAATAGTCATTAGATTGGTCATTTTTGCTTTTTAGTCTTTTGTCTTTATTTGAATTATGCACCATGGTTTCCATCTTAATTTACATTGACTTTGCTTGGTTCAAAAGTTGCAGGACATTTAAAATTTCTTAGATATCTTATTGTCAATTTCAGAAAGATTCATCATTATATCACTGACTGGTATCGAGATACGGCTCGTAACACGGAAAAGGATGATGGAAACTCAATATCAGACAATCGCTCGATGAAATGGAGGCATTAGTGGCGTAGATAATGGCATTCATTTATCAAGTTTAAACATGCACGCTTAATTGTAGCGTACATTTCAACTTACATCATAAAAAATGTGTTCTAACATGCTCCTGATGGAACTGTTGGATACTATTGAAAAATACTTGTAAATGGAAATACTGGTCCTTTATTGGTCCTTCCAAATCAAGGCTGGCATTGTAACGATTATTAGCATCATATTGGAGCACGTTTCAAGAAGATACTGCAATGAAAACAGTAAATGAAATATTATTTAAAAAAATAATGTAATGTTTTATTGCAAGAAGCGAATCAATTTTTTACCGTAATGAATGAATAGTTGTCCATCAAAAATGATTCACCAATCCAAAAACCAACGTAAGGGCTGCTCAATCGATCTAGATTATAGAGCAACTGACGAGACAATAATTCGTTTATTTTAATCTTGCTAGTTCCACGACGGAATAGATGCGCATAATTACCTTTAGTTTGAGTCTAGGCTCAATGTTGTAATTGTTTTGATAAATCCTGTGATAATGAGAGTAAGAAAGACCAATCTGTACACGACATAAAATTAAATTAAGAACTAGAATCAAGCAAATTGGTACTACGAAACAGAAAATAAAAGTTCATGATAGTATTTTAAAATGGTGCATACTTTGGACACTGATTTAGCTGCTAAAAATGAAATTACACCAATTTGAAATACAGTATTGAATCCAATGATACCCAAGCCAAGATCAGCTAATGGCATTCCAAATAGTCCAAGGTATGAGTAAAGCATAGCAACTTGTCCAGCTACACTGACAAAAGTGTAACCGCAATAAGAAACGTAACTCATCCCACGATTTATAAATTCAAATTCGTTGAGTAATGAAATATTTTTGGTGCAAAGTTTAGTTATAACTGAAACTGGCAAAGACTCAAATTGTAATGATTTCTGTAAATCAATATAAACGGAGTTTGATCTATATATGAGATAAGCAACGGAAATAATGAATAAGAAAGAAAACCAGGCAACTTGTGGAACAACCACAATTATCGAAAAAAGTGTAATTATCTGCCGAAATAGAAAGCAAGTCAAGATCAGTGGTCGTTTTAAGGCCAAATAGAATGTTTCACAATTGTATGTCGAATAAGTAAGACAGGTCAGCCAGACTAAAGCGGAGACTACCGATGTACCAACTATTTGTCGACTCATGAAAACACTTATTTGTCTCCATTTCAAACAATCTTCTTGCTTCATGTTGAGTACTTCAGGTTTCCATCCATAAATCATTGCTCTATCAATTACTTTAGCCCAATCAAGTGATCCATTTCGTGCCAAGTAACAAGATACTGCTCTAAAAGCACCCAAACAAAAAGCTCCACAAAGGCATAGCATTCGAAGTGCATATTCATTATTCATGCCAACAAATATGTCGCCTAGATAAGCCAAAGTTATGAGATCATCCGTACAAATGGCGCATAAAAGTTCAATAATTATTGTTAAGATGAAGAGATCAATTGTTATGGACAAGTAAGTAAACCCTTTGGTCGGAGGTACTGGACGATCTTCATCAGGATGAGGTTGATGGATGAGCAAAAGCTTTCCGATAAACATGAATCTTTCGATTGCTTCAACAGCCTCGTCGTGTGCAATATCAATTTGAGGCCAGCCGATAATAGCGTAAAAGAGTTTACTAATTATCTTTGACTTTTTAATATTTATTGCAGTAAGTCTACCCATTTTATCTGGAGAAACTTAATTCACAAAAGAATTGTTTGATTCAATTTTCACTACCAGTTTGATACTTTCATTAATTGTTCATGTTTGCACAAACGCATATCAAAATATTGATTCCGAGCAAATTATCATTTATTCATTCAAACAGTAATCTGGAATCTGAAATTGATGAACCAATTAAATTTTTATTTATAATTGAATAACTATTTCAATGTCTTCCTGTCTCCAAGTGTACTTGTTCAGGCTTTAATGTTGAAAATCGTTTTAAGGGCAATGTAAGTTCAATAAAACTCGAGGTTAAAGTATCGAAAATTAATTCTTTGCATTTTCATGTTTAATTTAATATTCATCAGGGTTCAACCACGAATCATCATTTATTAACAAAATTCACACATTAAAGAAGTTTTCATTTCAATTTAAATCAGTTCCATTACCGTTGTCAAAATAAATTTACTTATTCATGGCTTTTTTCTATATGTACTATGTATTAAGAAATGCTAAGCATGAAACAAAGATGATAATATTGAAATTAAATTGCCTTGATTCTGTGAAATGTTATTATTTTAATGATTGAACTGAATCTTTGTTTGATTTCAAATGCTTTTGAACTTCTCAGATATTTATTGATAAATCATTAAGATTACTGAAAATGTAGAAAAGTAACATCCGTGTAGAATCAGAAAATGAGATTCGATCACTTCTGTTAGTGAACCGATTCGAGATTGATATACATGTAGTAGTACTGTGAGCCGAGTTTAGCGTGCTTAGATTAAATTTCGATACTACGACCAATACTGAAATAGCCTGACAGTAAATCATACTTAGTGTTGTGTAAGTAGTCAAGTCGGCAAGTAGTGTTATTTGTGTTTCAAAGTTTGGATTGAAAGTCAAACTGGGAATCTTCCATTTCTCATAAAAACTACATTTTTAATAATAAGAGGTTAAACTGAACAAATTGGAACAATCAAAAGTGAAATGAATTGTTATCATTATTACCATTGAATCTTTAGATTCACTTATAATGACCGATAATGATTATTTGATGTTCAAAATTGCGTCTGTAAACTGATGCAGCAATCAAAGTAGAGCTAATTGACGGATAAAATCTTATTGTTATCAAATTAGACATTTCAATTCAATTCGTGAAATAAAACGGTTTAACTATTTTTCGCGACCTTTTTATTTTAACTAAATTGGTACCAATTGAGTTGAAAAGGACAAACTTTTTGATGTCTGACAGATCTGTCTATTGTAAGATTCAGCCTTAAAGTTAATCAAGGCGAAATTATTGTCATCGGTAATCAATTGCATTTGAACCTAAGCAGTTCTGAACAATTGTCTTTCGCTATCGGCTGTTTATTAATTGTATTGACCACCAGTTAAAGGAAAACAAAAGGTAAAACAGTTGCATGAAAACGAGAAGCAGGTTGGAGTTAAAAATGATGATCTTTGTTTAAAGTAGTTATCAAAAGTCCTGTTCTGGACCAAACTCGTCCGTACTGGATCAACTCGTCCGCTCTGGGCCAATTCGCGGTCCTGGACCAAATTTTATACCGTATGACGGTGAGCTCTTTTTTTGATAAAAAACAAAGTTTTTCTATAAAAAATCGGTTTTAATGGTAACAACTGAATTGAATGTTAGTTTACAAAAGAAATGAAATTAAAGATTTCTATTATTATGTTGTGCTTCGAGCTGCGGACCTCGCTCTTCTGCCCATTGCAGATATCTGTTGTGGAACTCTTGCATAAAATTTGGTCCAGGACCGCAAGTTGGTCCAGAACCGCGAATTGGTCCAGAGCGGACGAGTTGGGTCCAGAACAGGACTTTTGATAACTACTGTTTAAAGGTTTGAATAAACACTGAGGAGATTTTCGACTAAATTGCACAATTTTTTCCTTTTTGATTTCAAATATGAATTCATCATTGCTTTTAATGCGTATAATTTGAATATAATTGCGTGTCTTTTCTGGAACTTTGTATAAAATGCCAAAACGTGATTCAGCCAATCTTCATACTGTTTAGACAATTTTGCTTCATTTCTCTTCCTTTTTTCAAATATTGAACCATATTCACTGAATCTTATGAGTAGAAAAACTTCATTGTCAAATGCCAATTCTTTTCAATTTATCTTGTTTTAATATTGTAATAAATAAAATTAAAATAACCTGTTCGGAGAAAAGATTGGACGTTAACTTTGATGTGGCAAATCGAAGTAGCCGTTAAAATATTGAAAATATTTCAACAGTTTTTTGTAGATTTGTAAATAAGAGTATGAAAAATGTCTGGTGAAAATTTGAAATTTCTTGACAGAAGATTCAGTTAGTTATCGAACATGGAACAGCGCAGATCAAGAAAATGTTTTTATAATATTTTACGCCTGCACATTTTTATTGTTCAAGAACGGTCAAGGAACTAAGGTTCATTACAAATACTGATTGCATTGCCTTTGACTTAAGTTATGGTGTTACTGCTAAAGCAAGCCTTTTTTGCATTTGCGTCAGCCTCATCATGACTCAACAGAACTTTTAAATACCACTGAAGAATACTTATACATGTTGATGCTGTATCTTATGTGTCCCTCCAAATTAAGGCTGGCATTGTAACAATTATTAGCATCATATTGGAACACATTTCAAGAAGATACTGCAATGAAAAATAAAGAAAAGAGATATTTAAAAGAATTCAATGTTTTATTACAAGAAATGAAAAAATTTTGTTTACCTGAATGAATGAGTATTTGTCCATCAAAAATGATTCCCCGACCCAAATACCAACAGACGGGCTGCTCAATCGATCTAGGTTATAAAGCAACTGTCAAAACAATATTTCTTTCATTTTAATCTCGCTAATTCAAAATAGATAAGCATAATTACCTTTAGTTTGAGTCTTGGCTCAATGTTGTAATTATTTTGATAGATTCTATGATAATGAGAGTAAGAGAAACCAACCTGTAAATGATGTTAAATCATATTTAGTACTAGAATCAAGAACTACGGAACAGAACATGAAGTTCATGTTTTATCCCGTAATATTATTAAGCAATAATATTAGTAATATAGTGCATACGTTGGCCACTGATTTAGCTGCTATAAATGAAACTATACCAACTTGAAATACAGTATTGAATCCAATGATGCCCAAACCAAGATCAGCTAATGGCATCCCGAACAGTCCAAGGTATGAGTAAAGAAGAGCAACTTGTCCAGCAAAACTGATTAGATTGTAGCCACAGTAAGAAACGTAACTCATTTGCCGATTTATAAATTCAAATTCGTTGAGTAAAGAAATATTTTTGGTGCAAATTTTAGTTATAACTGAAACTGGCAAAGATTCAAATTGCAATGATTTCTGTAAGTCGACATAAACGGAGTTTGATCTATAAATGAGATAAGTAATTGAAATAACTAGTAAGAAACAGAACCAGGCAACTTGTGGAACAACAAAAATTATCGCAAAAAATGTAATTATCTGGCGAAACATGAAGCAGGTCAAGATCAGGGGACGTTCTAGGGCCAAATAAAGAGTTTTACAATTGTATGTCGAATAGGCAAAACATGTTACCCAAACCGAAGTGAGGATTATTGATGTTCCAACTATTTGTCGTGCTATGAAAACACATGTTTGCCTCCATTTCAAACAATATGCTCTCTTCATATTCAGTACTTCAGGTTTCCATCCATTTATCATTGCTTTATAAATCACTTTAGTCCAATCAAGTGATCCATTTCGTGCCAAGTAACACGATACAGCTCTAGTAGCGCCCAAACAAAAAGTACCACAAAGACATAGCATTCGAAGTGCATATTCATTATTCATGCCAACAAATACGTCGCCCAAATAAGCCAAAGTTATACGATTATCCGTACAAAAGGCGCATAAAAGTTCAATAATGATTGTTAAGACGAAAAGATCAATTGTTATGGATAAGTAAGTAAGTCCTTTGGTCGGAGGTACTGTACGATCTTCATCTGGATGAGGTTGATGGACGAGCAAAAGCTTCCCGATAAACATGAATCTTCCAACTGCTTCAACGGCTTTATCATTTTGAATATCTATTTCAGGCCAACCAATGATACCATAAAAGATTTTACTTATTTTATTTGAAACCACAACTTTTATTGCAGTAATAATGCCCATTTTATCTGGGCAAATTCAACTCACAAAAGAATTGTTTTATTCAATATTCAATACCAGTTGAATGGTTTCATTTATATTTCATATTTGCACAAACGCATATCGAAATATTGATTCTGAGCAAAAAAAAGTCATTTACTCATTCAAGCAATAATCTTGAATCTGAAATAGATGAACCAATTAAATTTTTATTGATGACTGAATAACTATTATATTTCAATGGCTTCCTGTTTCCAAGTGTATTTGCCTTGGCTGCTATGCTGAAAATTATTTTAAGGGCAATGTAAGTTCATTAAAACTCGAGACCAAAGTAGCGAAAATTAATTCTTTGCATTTTCACACTTAATTTTATAATTTAATATTCCTCAGAGTTACGAGTTGAACCACAAATCATCATTAATTTACGAAAATTTACACATTAAAGAAGTTTTCATTTCAATTTAAATCAGTTTCATTACCGTTGAAAGAAAAAATTTAATTATTCATGGCTTTTCCAAAATGTATTTTGAATTGCTGAATATGAAACGAAGACGATAATATTGAAATCAAACTACCTTGGTTTCATGAAATGTTATTATCTTAATGATTGAGTTGAACTGTGAACTTTTTTATATTTATTGATAAATCATTAGGGATACTGAAAATGAAGAAAAGGAGCATCCGTGTAGAACCAGAAAAAGAGATTCGAAAACTCCTGTTAATGAAACAATTCGATCAGATAGATAGTTCTGGCAGTACATTGTGAGCTTGAGTTTAGCATGATTAGATTGAATTAAAATTCAGATGCTACAATCAATGAAATTACTTGGCAGTTTTGCACAGAAAATCGTGCAAGACTTACAGTAAGAGTAGAGGTCAATTCAGGTTAGTGTTATTTATGCTTCAAATGCTGGATTGAAGGAAAAAACTGGAAATCTTTGAGTTCTCATAAAGTCAAAGTTTTTAATAATAAAAGTCGCTGTAAGGTTAAACTCATCATATAATTGAAACAATCAAAAGTGAAATGAATAGTTATCATTATCACCATTGAATCTTTAGACTCTTTAATGATCGATTAACGATTATTTGATGTTCAAAATTGAGTTTGTAAACTGATGCAGCAATTAAAGTGAAGCAAATTGAACGATGAATTGTATTGCTAACAAATTAATCATTTCAATACAATTCGTGAAATAAAACGGTTTAACTTTTTTTAATTTCACAGAATTTTTACCAATCTGGTTGAAAAGGAAAACTTTCGATGTCCAAGTTTTAGCCGTAAAGTTAATCAAATTGAAATTAGCAAATATTCAAATGCATTTTATTCATGACCTTTACCATCAACTGTACGGTTGAGGTAATTTTAGATGCGTTTTTAATCGTTAGACTCTTCACTGACAAGGTTTTTAATACTACCATTTCTTTTAAGCCACGTACTTTCATTCCTTTTGCTATTAAATACCTTACAAACTAACAATTAAAAATTAAATAAACATTTAACAGTGTGCTAACTTATACACTGAAACAACTCGCTGTTTGACATTTAAGAGATAGTTGAATAAATCATTTTGACATTTTAACCCTGAATGAAAAACATAGAAACCATTAAACTACATAATCTATCGCAGGTGAGCAATTTGATGCTAGTTTTAGAGCTTCGAAACTGGATTATTAGTTTGAAGCTATCTCAATAAAATTATGCGAATTTTCATTTGAAAAATATCATAAATTGTTTCAAAATGGTACGAAAAACCAGGAACTCGTTGATAAAAGCTGATTTGTATAATTTTCTTATTATTATAATATGATGATAAAATGATAGCTACAGAAACTGATATGCAAAACAAGTTTTTATCAAAGAAACAACGTTCTTTTTTATTGACTTTTGTCTCGCTAGAAAGCTATTTTAATTTTTGTTCAGAAAACAGCTAATAATTTATTCGCCGAAATATCATCTTGTTTGCTCAGTGTATCGTTGTTTTATTTTTGACCCGTATTTAGCCAGCTTTAAGTATCCGAAATGATGACGCATTAATTCAATTTTTCCGACAGAAATATTAAATGTGATTAGAGCCATATCCAGTATAATTACGCATGCAAAGCATTATAAAAAGTTCTGTTTGTCAGAAGCACCGATTTATTGAACTATTCGCCAAAATGTGCTTATTAATCTAATAAATTAAATGATCAATAGACTTATCTACGTTTGAATGCATATGAAATTTCATCTGCATAAATTATTTGTGAATGTATAGTTGCAAAAACAGACAAATTTGAACAGATGTCGCATGATAAAAAAAGAAAGCAAGAACTTCATGGTATAAAAAGCCCGGAAAAAGCGATACAGATATCAGTTGAAAAGTATTAACTACAAGACAACAACAAAAACATGAATATTAAATTAATAACTTTGTGCATCGTAGCCATAACAGCGTTTAGTGCTGTTGATGCAAACAGCTTATCAAGATGGAACCCAATAAGCATCGGTTTGAAAATGCCTATGGACCTTTTTGGAAGTCACAAGAAAACTAGCCCAACATCAGGATCAGGATCATCAACCGCAGCAGCTTCAGATTCATCATCAAGATCTAAAACCACGCACGCTAAACCTGTTATACCAAATGACTCAGCAACAACCTCAACATCAACCAGTAACTCACCTAACTCAGCATCATCAGGATCAGGTTCAGGATCATCAGCAGCAGCTTCATCAGGAGCAGCTTCAGGTTCAGGATCATCTGGTTCAGGTTCATCAGGATCAGCAGCTTCAGGATCAGCAGCATCAAGTTCAGCAGCAGCAGCTTCAGACTCATCATCTGCACCTGCACCAGCATCAAACACTGGATCAGGATCATCATCAGCAGCTTCAAGTTCAGCCGCAGCAGCATCATCAGCAGCAGCTTCAGATTCATCATCAGGACCAACAACCTCAACATCAACCAGTAACTCACCTAACTCAGCATCATCAGGATCAGGTTCAGGATCATCAGCAGCAGCTTCAGGTTCAGGATCATCTGGCTCAGGATCAGGACAAGGATCTGGTTCATCAGGTTCAGGATCATCTGGTTCAGGTTCATCAGGATCAGCAGCTTCAGGATCAGCAGCATCAAGTTCAGCAGCAGCAGCTTCAGACTCATCATCTGCACCTGCACCAGCATCAAACACTGGATCAGGATCATCATCAGCAGCTTCAAGTTCAGCCGCAGCAGCATCATCAGCAGCAGCTTCAGATTCATCATCAGGACCAACAACCTCAACATCAACCAGTAACTCACCTAACTCAGCATCATCAGGATCAGGTTCAGGATCATCAGCAGCAGCTTCAGGTTCAGGATCATCTGGCTCAGGATCAGGACAAGGATCTGGTTCATCAGGTTCAGGATCATCTGGTTCAGGTTCATCAGGATCAGCAGCTTCAGGATCAGCAGCATCAAGTTCAGCAGCAGCAGCTTCAGACTCATCATCTGCACCTGCACCAGCATCAAACACTGGATCAGGATCATCATCAGCAGCTTCAAGTTCAGCCGCAGCATCATCATCAGCAGCAGCTTCAGATTCATCATCAGGACCAACAACCTCAACATCAACCAGTAACTCACCTAACTCAGCATCATCAGGATCAGGTGCAGGATCATCTGCTGCTTATGCTAATCGCTATGTTAATTCTGCAGGTCAAACCTGTGTTTGTTATGCATAAGATAAATCTGAATAAAAAATCTGATTTCTAAATACGTAGCATATATTTCCTATTTTTTATGAATTGAAAGCTTATTCATTCATAATACAAGGCAAGAAGATATTACCTTATATGTCTAATCAGCATAAACTTTTAGCATCGAGAATTGAGAACAGGAATTTTATTTCAAACGTAAAAGGTTTAAGAATTTTTGAATTTACAGCAAGCAATCGATCAAAATAAATCGAAATGCTAATGCGATTCACAATTGAAAAATCAAATTAGGCTTATTACTATTTATTTTCAGTCTTCATCGCAACATTCAATATTCATCACAAACTATTGAGCATTTCGCGCTATTTTTCTACTATTGCTACTGTAAATATGTGGAATTATCACTACTTTCATACTAACATAAAAAATCTTCATTGTGATACGCTATCTTTGATGCCTCTGCACTTCGCCCTTTTTCCGTCTCTTCGTCTTCAAATTATTTTGTTTTTTTTTCGTTAATATTTCACGAATGATAAGTCAGAAAAGAAAGTAGGAAGTCGGTTCTGCATATAAATTATCTTTCTTTTTAACATATTAATAATCGGTTCTAGTTGGTCGCGACTTCCCACTTCGTCCTTTATATTTTTAAAGTATAAAAAATTGCAAAAGAAAATCATTCACAATCTGAAAATAGGCAAATTTTGATATTATCATTTTGATCATAACCTTTATGAATGCTGATGGATATTCGGGCAGTTTGATTGTTCAAGTGGTTGTAAATTAATGTCCAATTGTCTGATGAACAAGCTAGATCGCTGAATTTTTGGAATAATGTATGTTGACAATTGCAGGCACACTTGTACAGTTTGATTTTGTTTCAATCTTGTCTTTAATTCAATTTTTAACCACCCTTATCGGTGCTGGTTTAGTTTGACAAACAAGGGTCACTTGGTGGTCGTTAAATATCCAATAAATGATGATCAATTTAGTATTTGATTGATTACTTCTCATCAATCATTTTTTCCTTCAGGTAATAAATGTTTCATTTTCAGTCAATGAATATTGTTGAAAGTCTCCAACAGTTACCTCAACGATCAAAAGCGTAATTAAAGAATCTTGAAGAAATAAATGAACAGTTATTGATCTACGACCAGTACTTGGTGATTGTATCAAATGTATGGAATGCATCTAATATGTAAAAAGTCGAGAAGTGATACGCAAGTGATAGCTTGAAGTTAATGACTGTATAACTTTGCGTACGATGAAATCAATGTTTCAATTAAAATTTAAATATAAAATGAACAATAACCTATGCGGAAAAACTTTGAGACAAATTGTTCAGATGAAATTTCACAATTAAGAAGTTACAATAATTAAACATTTTATACATCATGCAAAAGCTGAAAATCAGTATTTTCTGCTAGAGCCATTTAATCCACCCTCAGGGACAAGATTATCATTTGTTTCAACGTTTTTCGCAGGCTTCCAAAAAGCATACTTAAGAAATTTTTTCAAAGAGTTGCTACACTAATTTGTCTATATTAATTGATTCCAATAAGTCTCAAGTCCTAAAAATTTCCAGCATATACGTTGAACCTCAGGCAATCGAATGATGTTTATTAGAAAGAAGTTCATGAAAGCAATAAGAATTAAATTACTCAAGAGCTAACGCATGGAAAATTCATTTCGAAACAGAAGCATTTGAGCTGACTGAAGCGCATTTGATTAATGCAAAAATCTAATAAACTAATCAAGCTAATTTTCTGAAATTTGACTTGTGTAAATAAATGTCCATTATAATCATTTCCCTAAAATTTCAAGTCAATTGAAAATATGATTTCTGAGAAAAAAGAAAAAATTGCTGAAATAACTTGTCTCAAAGTTTCTCCGCATAGGTTAGGTATAAATATCAGAGTAACCATGAGATTTCCTCATTATGTTTTCCAATTAATACATTTCAAGTTCAATGATAAAATGCTGACTGTTGCTGTGCTCAAAATACGACTTTCAAAGAAAAAAGTAATCAAGGAGCCAAAGAGAAACAAAATTTTCGATCTTTTTTATAGAATTATCGGCTGGCCTCAAATAGATGTTGAGCACTCTAAAGCCGTTGAAGCAATCAAAAGGTTCATGTTTTTCGGAAAGATTTTGCTCGTCTATCAACCTCATCCAAATGCAGTCCATCCAATTGCACCAACGAGATGGTTTACATATTTGTCGCTCACTATTGATCTCTGCACTTTGATCACTGTTATTCGTTTAATTTTCTGCTTTTTTACTGATAATCTATTGACTTTAGCTTATATGGGTGACATATTTGTTGGCATTAGAAATGCATATGCACTTCGAATGTTGAGTGTTTGTGCTATTGCTTGTTTGGGTGCTTTTAGAGCCATATCATGTTACTTGGCACGAAATGGATCTCTTGATTGGACTAAAGTGATTGATAAAGCAATGATCAATGGATGGAAACCTGAAGTACTCAACATGAAGGAATTGTATTGTTTGAAATGGAGGCAGATAAGTGTTTTCATTACACGACAAGTAGTCGGTGCATCATTGGTGATTGCTTCAGTTTGGTTAACTTGTTACGTTTATTTGACAGTCAATTGTAAGACAGTCTACATGGCCCTACAAAACCCAACTATTTTGGGTTTCTTCGCCTTTTGGCAAGTGATCGCACTCATTGCAATGATTTGGCTTGTCCCACAAGCTGCTTGGATTGGCGTTCTTTATGTCATAGTAACATCTTATGTGCTTAACAAATCAAATTCCGTTTATAGTGATTTACAGACGTCATTAAAATGGAGATACATACCATCTTTAGTATTGAGGAAACTTTGCAACCAGAATATTTTATTCCTCAACGAATTTGATAGCATAAATCGCTTTACGCGTTACATTAGTTATGCTGCTTATAACTTGATCAGTGTAGTTGGTCAAGTTGCTATTTTTTACTCGTACCTTGGACTATTTGGAATGCCATTAGCTGATCGTGGCTTGGGACTCATCGGCTTTAATACAATATTTCAAATCGGTTTTAGTTCATATCTAGCGGCTAAATCAGTGGCTAAAGTATGCATAATATTTGAAACCATACAATCAGCATAATACGCTAGTTTTCAATATAATTTTATATCATTTACAGATTGGCCTTTCTTACTCTCACTATCATAGGATTTATCAAAACAATATTAATATTGAGCCTAGACTCAAACTCAAGGTAACTATGCTAATCAATTTCATTGTATAATTAGCAAAATATTGTTTTGTCAGTTGCTTGGTAATCTAGATCGATTGAGCAGCCCGTTCGTTGGTTTTTGGGTCGGGGAATCATTTGCGATGGATAATTACTCGTTCATTCAGGTAAGTATTGATTTCAACTTTTAATGATATATTACTTGATGGATATATCATTCAGTTTCATTCAATTATTTTATCCCAATGCATTTATTGCAGTACGTTTTCGAAACGGGTTCCAATATGATGCTCATAATTGTCACGATGTCGAACCTCATTTGGAAAAATTGATAGTTTGACAATTTATATCATTTTTTCATTCAAGAAGAGCGCTTTTTTTCATCTGTTGGAAGTAACTGGAAGCAATGTTAGATGGAGCTGTGGTTATTCAATGTGAGAATTTTTTGTTTGTATTTTTTTCAATTGTTGTTAATTTAGTTAATTTTTTCGTTTATTTAGGCAAAGTCTTTTAAACGACTTTTTGAAACTTTAATTGAACATCAGATGCCTCCAAAGAAAGGTGCGGCTTCAACCAGTAAATCGTCTGGTAAAGGTGACTCTAAAGATTCTGGCAAAAAAGAGACTAAAGAAAAGACCGGCTCTGGAAATTCTGTTAAAGTTCGTCATATACTTTGTGAGAAACAATCAAAAGCTTTGGAAGCCATTGAGAAGTTAAAGAGTGGCGTTAGTTTTTCTGAAGTTGCTAGGTTATTCAGTGAAGATAAAGCTCGTAATGGTGGTGATTTAGGATGGATGACCAGAGGATCTATGGTTGGACCTTTTCAAGATGCTGCATTTGCTTTAGCCACATCAACACCCAACAATCCAATTTACACCGATCCTCCAGTTAAGACAAAATTTGGATATCATGTAATTATGGTTGAAGGCAAAAAATAGTGACATTTCAACTTCTCAAATCGACCTTGTATTCCTCTCATTGTCATAAGCATTGAAAATTTTTTGATATCAACCTTACACATATTTGCATGTACTAAGTACAACATTAATACTTTATAAAAAAAGGCTAGGTAATAAAGCCATTATTTAAAACTTTCATCAGGACATCTAATTTTACAACGGAAAATAACGGTTCAAAATTAATGTTTTGAAAGTTGATATATCCTGAAATATGTTTCCATAATGACCAAATTTTGATGGGAATCTTGTAAGTTTTCTTGGCTAAAAGGCGGTTAAAGTTACCCGATGAGGAAAATTAACATATTTGGCTACCAGGAAGGTGATTTACCAGGATACAATTGAATTCAACTTGAATGTCACGATTAGAAAAAGCTATGTCAATATTTACACAAATTATCCAACCAAGTTCAACAGACTAATCAATCCACAGGTTTAAATGACTAACTCTGAAGCTAAACAAACCAAAGGTAATTTGGTAAAGATAGTTGAATACCTCAATGTGCACAATCCTGTATTTGGACGTTTACCTGTGCCAATCTGAATAATACCAAAACTATCCAGCAAAGCTGTAAAAATGATGTCAGCTATTCACCAAATGTTTTCGTGAAACAATTCATGATTCAAGAGGCAAAAAGTAATATCGACCATAAGTGATGATGAATAGTAAAAGTGAAAGATGAGCTTTGATGAAAGCCAAATTATCAATACTGATGGTCGGTTGTAAACTAACCTTAAAGATGGACATGGATTGGCCATCAAGATGGGTACAAAATCAATTAGCAATTTGATAATAGGAACATGTTTCTCATCAAATGTCCCATAATCAATCAGTTGACACTTAGAGACTGTGTGAAGTTGACATTTTTGTTGACCCGCAAAACCAAAGGCAAGGCCTTTCTCCACTGACCCCAAAAACTTGCATTTTATAAGGTCAACTGTAAAGTTCCTATGGAAGGAAAAGGAAAAGGAAAAGCATTAACTGAAAAATATTATGATGATGATGAATAAAGACAGAGAGAGAGAGAGAGGGAGAGTAAGGTGAGCAAGGGAAGACGGGAATAACAAACAAAAACAGAACGACATAAAAGGAGATGAAGATGAAGAAGAGGAAGGGGAGAGGAAAGATGTTCACACGGGAGTAAAACAAGAAAACGGGATAACAAGTTGAGGCGGAGTAAAAGTGACTTTAGCTTTTGTAGAGCGCGTTTCACTGCTTATTGGGCTACCTCTTTTTTTTCATCATCATCATCATTTTATCTGTATTAGTTACCAACATTTACCTTAATAAGCAACAACACTAAACAACAGCCGACTCAGCATTGCAACTTTACCATTATTGTTGGTTAACTTGATCACTTTCACCGAGTCATCTTCATCATTGTTGCCATCAAAAATAAAATCGTGTGTTATGTGATTCTCATTGCCTCAAACGGATTACAAGTGACCGTTGAATCGTTGATTTACCTTCAACCTCAACTTAACCAACCAAGTAAACTTTATCGTTTCGAGGTAAGCCTTTTGTTTTTACCTTTTCATTTCAATGAAGGAAACAATTGCCTTTTAAAATGTTTGACTTCTGTGTTACGTAAAGGAAATAATTGGTTGTTTTGTTATGATTATGAGTGATGATGATGTTGTTGATGATACTACAGTCTAAGAAAGTAAAAGGAGGAAGAAATGATGATGGCGAAGCAAGAGTAAGCAAAGAAGAGCAAAAATTTACCCTCAAGGCCTTGGCACTTTAAGATGACCCCAAAGACCAGTTCAAACGACATGGAGAGACAGAGAGATTGGAAAAGAAGATGCTAAAGGGAGGAGAAGATGAAAAAAATGATGAAACAAGAATGATGATAAGCTGTGTAACGAGCAATCAAAAGTGAATTGCTTAATGAAATGATGAGAATTTTTACCTTGAATTCTTAAACTTTGTTCACCATTAGCATCTTGATAATCATCTTCATCTTTTCCACCACTTTTATCTTTTCTTTATTTTTTCTCATCTTTCCAATGATTATCAGATATTCTGAAGAATGCTCAGCCAAACAAACAAAGTGTTGAAAGCACACATGATATCTTGTAAAAGGTTAAACTTGTTGTTGTTAGACCGTAAAGTTTAGGTTAAAAGGCAACTCAAATTATCGGATAAAAGTCTTCGTTGTAGGTCTTCAATTTACGGTCAAAGGTAAAGGCCAATAAAAAGGTAAATACATTAATCTTGTTAGGCAAAGGTTAGAAGCCTTAAAATTTCACATTTTTTACCTTAAAAAACATGAAAATTTCTTTTTCGGTAAAAAATATTGATCAAGAATTTGTGATTTAAGCTTGTCTTTTAAGCAAAATTTATTGTCCAGATAATCATTTTAATGCAACTATTTCATGTCGTGATTCGGCCTTTAATTGGTCAACATATCTGAGAAACTTGGTTACAATTTTTGTCGATTCAACGGCAACTTCCTTACCGATAGTTTCAAATCGTGATTAACGATTTAATTAACCATTCTTTTCAATGATAATAATGATGACAACGATTATGATGTTAATGGTGCAAAGCTGATTAGACAATGAATTTGAAGTTTTGGCAGAAAAAAATCAAATCAATATTTAAAGATGAAAATGATGGCAACTCAAAGGTTGCTAACACTTGCGATGAAGGAAGAAGAAAAAAACGAATTTATTCAAATCATGTTTTCTCAAGGCAACTCTGAATTCACAATCTATCTCAAGGTGAAATATGAAGAAATGCGAGAAAAGAAAAGCAGAACTTTTGAAATTCCCACGAAAAATAATTGAGTGATAAACATTGAAATCATCTTCAACCTTTGATTGTCTTTGTTACCAAACGTTGAAATAATAATGAACAAAAAAATTGAATGAAAAAGGGAAAAGTGGAGAAACGCTTTTTCCTTACGATTTACTAGCGACAGATGTTTCCGGTCCAACTGAGCCTCTCACCCTGTCTACCTTTGATTTGAGTCGCGCAAGATTTCCGGTTGAACCGGAAGATAGCGGGATGAGGATCAAGTCCAAGTAGACAAGGAAGGTAACTTTTTATTAACGGAAAACGTCTTAACAATGGAATGACGATGTTAATGGTGAAAAGCGATTTGCTTGGCTAACTGGTTCTCAGGTATTAACTTGAGGTAGAAATGGGAGAAAAGATGAAAAAGGCTAAGAGAAGGCAAGATGATGATAAGAATGATGAGAATGATGATTGATTGGAAGAGAAAGTTTTCCTCAGATGATTCTCTTCACTTTTACTATTTTAATCCTTTTTCGGTTAATTTCTTCTTCTTCTTCATCATTTTATTATTTAATAGCAACTTTTTATTGATGATAATGATCTTGATGTTCACCATTAACTTCATCAAAAAACGTTAACCTTTTTTTATTTTCATTTTTACCTCTCTTCCAGTCTTGATTATTCACCTGATTTCAGTAGCAATGATGACAATCTGTTGATTTCAAGTCAATAACATTCTTTACTTTTCACGTTTCATTGTTTCCTTGTTTAATTTACCTTCATTTACCTGCCAATTTAATGGCTAATTAGATGAAGTTATCTTTTCCATCTTTCAATCTCAATATTTATAAAGTTAATTTGAATGTTAATTTTGAATGTTATTTTGAATGGCCATTTTAAGGTTAATTTAAAGGCTCATTTAAGATAATTTTATTTGGTCAAAATGTTGGATTGTCTTTGGATATCAGCTTTCAAAAGGTTGGTTTAAACCTAAAGGTTGATGTAATTGAAGCCATTTGTTCAATTGTTCAATCAAACATTTTATAGTAAAATACTTGATTAGTCAAGATAAGAACAACTATTTTTCATTGTAATTAACTAAACGTAACTTGAAACAATACAAATCAATGGATTTTCATTATTCAATGATTAACCGTCTCAAATTTCCCACCAAATTTCATCGCCTCTTGTATTGAACCAAAATGTATCAGAGAGAAGGCAAAGTTTACTTAAAAAAAGCAGCACTGAACTTTTTTTCTCATCTTGTTTCAACATTTCTTCACTAATTAGTGTTGAATAAATTTAAACTTGAATGTCCATCAAAAGTTTTCATTCAACAATGAGCAATGATTTATCTGTGTGAACATGTTTTACCTTGATGAGCACAGGTTTTACAGTTTTTCACAAAAATGTATTCTGTGGTCCGTAAATGATTTTTATGGTCAGTCCTAACTGAGTAGGAGTCAATCATCATCATCATTAGCTTTTCGCCTCATCTTCATGAGATCGTTTCGCTCTGTTCATCTTTCTTTGTCCACCAATAAACAAGGTTCATCATCACCTTTAAACCCTCATGACAATCTCTCACCAATTTGCAAGAACTTTTTCAACAAAATTTACTTTTCCAGTTTATCGTTAACCTTAACCAGAAACAAGATCCTTTTTCATCTCATCTTTAATGCTTCAACCATTTTTCAACTAACTTTAGATTTGCTTGATTAAAGTAGTAAAATATTTACATTTAATCATTAGTATTATTACATCTAGTAAATTTACAATTAGTTAATTACAATAATGACAATAATACAGTTGACTGGTTTAAAGAGTTTACTTTTCTGGTTTGCTTTTCATTTTTCCCTTTTGTTTTTCCCTTCAATCCTTCAATTTTACATAACATTATCATTTTCATCTTTTCACTGTTTTTTCAACTTTGACTTTTTTTGTTATTCCTCTTCAACATTTTTCACATCAATCTTTCCTCTTCATCTTGACCCTCTTTAAATAGCTGTTTTCATCTGATAGCATGCAATGATGAGACGAGCATCAAGCTGACATTGTACCTCAAATGCCATCCTCTTCATTTTAACAAACCATTCCTACCATTGCTCACAATATAAACATGCTTTCTCCTTCACTTTTCATATAATATTTCAACTTGAATTAACGTTACCATTTAAAGCACATTTGTTTCATTATCAAAACCATTAACTTATGTTTGATTAACTTTTCTCTCTCTCTCTTCTCTATCAACAGATTATTATCAAAGGAAAATTGGTTAATAATGAACATTATGGAAACCAATGGAACTCATGGCAACACCCGAAAACTGGAAACTGATCAAAAACACTAATCATTGCAATATATAAATCTGTTAAGTCTAGTCAACATCAACAGTCAAGTTGAACATTATTCAGTGACAAATATTGTGATTCAATCAAAGCATCTGTTGTAACAACATCATCACCAGCATCACCATTACCAGTGACAATAACCTTTCAGCTGCGAAAACCTTTTACCTTAAAAGTCGAAACATATCGAGAGCAAGAAAAGAGAATTAAAAAAAGGAGAAGAGAAGAGAGAGTCAACTGATCAACCAGGAGAGCAACCAGGAAAGTTACCAGGAAAAGGAGAGGGAGAAGCAGATGGAAGATGTAGCTTAACCCAAAGTCTGTTCATTTATTAAACATTACCTTGTGGCTATTGTAACGCGTGCCACGCGTTTTCGCGTGTCCAGTCCAATCTTCCATCAACATAATTATTATCATCACTTTTGGTTGACTCTTGTTTCGCCAGAGAATCCAGTTTTACTGTTGCTAGACCTTTGCATCTTTAGGATGACCTTAACGGTTAAACCTTTTGCCGTTGCTATTTGCCCGCCATTATTTTAATACTTTCATCTTTCATCTTTTAATGACAACTTTTCTCGTCTTCACATTTAACATTTACATTTGTTGATTATAATTTAATGATTTATCTTACCTGTTGACTCTACAAGGTTTACTCCCAAAAAGTGTTCGCCTTTCTCATCATCATCATCATCATCAGCTTCAACCTTTTTCTTTCAAAAACTTGGCAATGCCAGTTTCAACAAATCCTTCACATTATCAAAGTTATGATAACGCCATCAATGGTTTGTCACCGTTAAACGGTATAACATCTAATGGCGTTGTTATCGTTTCACCACCAAATACTCAGCAACAGTCATCAGGAGTTTCTAGTAACAACAATTCAAATGGTAATTATACCAACAACAACAACAACCTAAAAGATAGACATCATCATCAACAGCAACAATCAACACTTTCCGTTCGACCAACCTCACCCTTGCCAAGTGACTATTCAACTCTGAATGGTGGTCTAACCCAGTTAACCTCACCATTAACACCGCGAACACCAATTATGAATGGTAACCTAATCAATACTGGAACGCTCAATCGAAATGCGAGTAAAAATCGTCTAACAGTTAACCATGTCAACAGCTCATCTTCAGGTCTACTGTCAACCACATTAACCTCACCAACCGCCAATGGGCCAAGTTTCAATTCGACCAAGCAAACAGTTTTAGACATTACCAGGAGTGGATCAGGTTTGACTCCTCCAGGCCTGGTAACATCATCTTCATCAACCACAGCAACTGGCCAAGCAGCTCGTCCTTTAAGAAATGGTGGCCTTAACATATCTAGAATATCGGGGCCAGGGTTAAGCCAACAAATGCCGGGATCACCTCATGGTCCAGGTTGTCCAGGTGATCCTGGTAGTCCAATAGGTTTGTTGAGTCCAACTGGATATACTCGTGTCAACCAACAATCAGCAAGTGACATTGTTTTCAATTCCAATGGAATCTCAGAGATGCTCTCTTCTCTGGCTCTCATGTGTTTATTATCACTGTTAATGGCCTTTTTGGCCCTCTTCTTTCTCCAACGAACCGGACCCATTATAACCATACCTGAAGACCTTAAACCCAACGAACTGCCACTCTCACCTGGCACCAATTCCCCTCTAACCAAGGATAAAAGTACTGTTAATGTATTCAGTCAATCACGAATCGTTGTAAATACTCGTGAATATGTTCGTGTCTTCCAAATATCAGTCTCTTTAAGTACTCTTACCATTTCACTAAACTTGTGTTGCCTTTTTGTCTGTTGCATTCAATTCTTGTCTGCCGTTAAACTGCTTAAAACACCTCAAGGGACCAAAAGGTTTGCTCTATTTTTAATCATTTAACCAAAAAAAACGATCAAACTTGTATCAATTGTTTTAGCGCAACTGGAAACATCAAAATCCCGTTTTCACCTCCTTCCCTGTTCAACCTCAAAAAAACGCTGTAAACATTTGATTCACTTTTGATTATCTAATTTTGTTTCTTTTTTTTCTTCTCCTTCGTATTCCTCTCATCAATCATTATGACTGATCTTTGTAAACAATGTTCATTTTTAGTTTACTTTTTTCTTCTTCTTCTTCATTCAGTATCTGATCAAATTGAAATGGTTACAATGATTAGTTTACACAATCTATCAAACATTCAATGTTAGTTGAAGAAGCAAAGAAAAAACAGTTTTCTCTTTTTTTTCTATTTACGCTTCAATCTTAAGGTTAAACCTTTTTGCACAAATTTTATTAAATGTTGGCCTAATTTTGACCCTAAATTTGCTTCCTTAATCACCATCTAAATGGTTCAAAATGATGATCAAGTTAATTATCAACAGAAAGCTGATAATTTTTGCCTAAATTCATTTTCTTTTCATTTTTTGTTTCTTCATTCCAATTCAATTTCCACTCAATCTCACGCTACTGTAATCATTTCTAACAAGATTGATTCAATTTAACATAATTATTAAGAAAAACATTTTTTTATTCAAATAATTTTCATCAATTATCATCTTCATCAACATAATTATATTAATTAATCTCATCATTTCAATAGCTTTACCCAATGTACAATCATGCATGTTTAAAGAGTTTATCATGAACCATTTTTAATTTAATTACTCTAATTCATTCATTCATGAGTCAATTAATTGTTGAATAGAGTTTCGTTTCAATGTCCAAATTTGCCTTCTTCAACAGTTTAAAAGCTATCGAAGTTAATCGAGAAAAAAGGTCAACTTGATTGCGTTTTCATCAACACTGAGTTAAATTGCTCGGAAAGGATTAATCATAATGTCTTAATAATGGAAGATTCTTTAATTGCAAAAATGAAATGGAAAAACAATAATCAATAAATCATGCAATTATCACCTTCTAATGAAATTAATATCATTTAATGAACATTAGTTTTCTGTTTTTTGGAATCGCTTTGAAGCGCAATAAAACAACAATTGGAAACAAAATTAAACACATTTCTCCATTCAATTTGATCAAAGTTAATTGTTATTAGCACTTTTATTATCCTGAAAAACGATTGAAAATAATGTTTAGAAATTGAGATTTTTTGATGAAAATCATTTTACTTTTGCTCATCAAATGTAGCCAAGTTGAACCCAAAAATGAGCTCATCTTTAAGATGATAATGATGACGATTATGGGAATAATGATGATTGGAGTGATGATTAAATGTTTCAGGTTAAGATTGATTTGAATTAAATGATGTTCAGTTGAAATGTTATGACCGGAACTCGAGTGTCATTTGTTTCAGACTTTTCTGAGGTTCTTTTCATACAAATCATCTTGTTAACAAAGTGTGTCTAATGGATGAGTTACACTTTATTTTACACTCTAATGATTTAATTACGTTACTAAGAAAAAAAAGAAGAAGCAAAAAAGGTTGGAAAAAGGCTGTAAAACTGATTCTTTTCTCTCTTTTTCTTCCTTCTCTTCAGGACCCAACAATTTTTGAAAAAAACTTCCCATGTTCGTATAACTGCCATTGGTGCTTTCCTCTTGTCAATTCCTATCTTTTTTACCGGTAAGTTGATTCTGTTCATTCACTTCTTTACCTTTTCAACTTTTTATGTTCAATGAAATTGAAAGCAACATTTGCACAATTTGACAAACTCATACAAAACTGTATCTTTCAATGTGTAGGCTCAGTTTTCAGGTTTTATTACTTTTCAAATTTTCATTATCGTAGGTTGATGTTGAATCAAATAAAGACTTTTATTTTCAACATTAAATTGTTTATTCTGGTTAATCCACAGTTTGAGCATTGATCAGGTTTTGTTTGCTTTTCTTGTTTAAATGCAATTTCATTAATCATTTCATTTTCATTTCTCTTTTTGTCACTTTTCATTTGCAACTTTATTCACATCTTTTTGTCGTTTGCACTGTTGATTGCTTTTGCAAAGTGCTTTGATATTCATGATTTTGAGAAATTTGAAAACTTTGAAGTTCTTGGCTCAAAAAACTTGCATTTGTTTTTTCTTCGTGTTTTCCAAATTTTCTTGTTCAACTTTTAAAACTCAATTTTAGCTAAATTGTTGAAATCATGCTTTAGGAATTAAGTTTTTGCCTCATTTCTCATTTATATTTTTGCGCTGTTAATGGACGTTGAAATTTTGGTTAACAAAACTCGTCACTTTTGACAGACTTTTTAATTGGATTGATTTCATTTTTACATGTTTTTACCTCTTTTTTCAATCATTTTCTGTAACATCAGATAATCATGAGTTTGATTGAAATTTTTAATCATTTATTAGGTTAATGGATGTTGAGGTAAACAGAGTTGTAAGGTGTCAATCAGCAAATTAAAGCTTAAATAAATGTGACTTAATTATTTCATTACAATAAGTTTTACAAATTAAAGTCAATCAAATTTTCATTTTGGTTCAACATCCATTTTCATCTCAATCAAAAAAGATAATTGAAATTGTCGTTTCTTTCAACGTTCATCATAAAGTCCAAATATTTAGATGAAACTATCGATTCTAATTATAAGGTTAAACTTGCGTTGGTGTTCAAGTTTCAGATCAAAATGCTATGAATTAAGTCAGTTGCATGGGCAAAGAAAAGCAGGAAAATTTCCTAATCAACTTTCGGTTAAAATATAAAGTTAAAGACTTGAAACTGACATTCAATGAACAATCAGCAATCAAATTCAGAGAAACAGAGATAAACGGAGATACAAACAATGAATTAGACTTCAAGATTGAATCAGTCAAGATAATCAATTTGATCCACTTTTTATGAGCATCTATCATGATCCATTTAGAAAACAGAATTTCAATTTTATTTTATTTTACATGAAGTAAGATGTTTAGGAAATTCTGTTTTCTCTGGATTTTCCTTGAAGATATTCCAAGTTATTATCTTATCATTTGCTGACCTTAAACTCGCCGAAGCGTTAATTATTAGTCTGGGAAATGATGATGTTATTATACATGATTAGCTAATGTTGAGCCTTTATTTGTACCATTATTATTTATAGCAATCGTTTGAAGCTCGGTTAAAGCTCAATTGCGCTTCAACCTTTTATAACAATAAATGGCAATTTTTTTACAAAAAAAAAGATCGTTTTCTGCGAAACAAAGCAAGAGAAAAGCAAAAATTGCAGAGAAATAAAAATGGATTGAATTACAATTAAGGGAAAATGAAATCGTGCGAGTTTCAAATTGAACCTCAACAGCAAATAAAAACACAATCAGTCTTAATTGTAATCAAATTGTCTCCATTTCCATTTAGTCTAAACATGTAACCTTAACCTTTTCTCGGTTAATTTTGAAATTGCCTTTTTTTAGTCACAACTTTGCACTTCCTTAATTTGCCTTCCCAACGACTTTGCTCCATTTAAAGTTCATTTTATTGATGACAACAATCAAGTCTCAATTTACCTATCACCATGATACTCTTCATTGAATCAGTTGAACAACAATTGCATGAACAACAAAAGGCCAGATAAAAGTAGCAAAGAAAAGCAAAAAATGACTCTTAAATGGTAAAAATGCTTTAATCAGATTGAACCCATTTCCGTAGCTCAAAATAGTAAACTAATCAATCCAAGTATCAAATGACAATCAATTTACAAATCAACTTACGAATCAATTTGACCACCGAACATTAAAAGCTGAAATGCAAAAAAAAGTTGAAACTGAACAAAATTGGTTTCTAAACAATCGCAGCATCATGAATGGTTTAACCTTTAAACATCATCTCATGTTTAATGGTAAAGGCCAAAGTTTACAATTTATGGGTCGAAACAAGAGAAGAGCCCAAAAAAGAAAAAAATGTTGAAAGGAAAATGAAGAGAATTGAAAATGTTCACCTTGAGAAATGAACTGAACAAATGTTACCACAGAATTGACTCCCTTCCGTTAAGAATAGCTTTTGTTTGTTTGTCATCTCAATAATATTCTTAAGAATGCTTAACATTTAAATATCATTTTCAATAACAATATCAACGGAAACCGGATAATGTTTTGTTCATTGACTGTATAACCGGAAACATGGGCAGAGATGACACACAACTTTATCATTCTCATCATTTTTATCCTCTTTCTTTTTCCCTCTGATATTTTTAGGAGTCATACTATTTACATTCATCAATTTTGACGAGACTCCAGCTTTAATTACTAGCATCATCATTGGCATTGGAATTGTTTTCTGTGGCCTTGCATCCGTTCAAAACGTCTATTTATGGCAAGTAAGTTGACCTAATATTTAGTCGCCTTCTTTGAATCACTTTTCCCACAATCTTGCCAACCAACAAATCAATTCATCTAAATTGGTAACTTTGATTGATTCAAAGCATTCAATTCTGGTCAACACTTTTGTTTCATTTGTTTACATCTATTTTAACTCGTTCATGATTCTTGTTAAATTGCTGTTAATTATTCAGCTTGATGTTTCAATGTTCCAGTTAGTGTTTTATTATTATCATTATTCATCATTACTCTATTGGCTTCAAGCTGAGGTTTGCTTGGCTTTCAGGTGTACGGTTAGTTCAAAATAACTGACTTTACTTTCAAATGACTTTTCATTATTTTTACCTCAAACTTGATGAAAAGTGCGGTTTTGTGGTTGATTTAGGTTAACACCATGTTGAACATTATTCTGATAATCTGATGAGAATCACACTTTTTTTTATTAATGTAAGTGTCTTCTATACTTGAATCTTCCTCGAGCAGTTCGTTGATTAACATGGTTATTACATGAACAAGTTTAGTTGATTAATGTTTAAAAGTACCTTTTTTGCTGATGTTTAAGATGAAAACAATTGAACAAGATTAACGGGTTTCACTTTACCAACTTTTAAAAAGTTAATCATTTTCAACATTTTCTTGTTAACAATCAATTGGCGATCGATTAAATTGTTTGATTGATTGTTAACTTGTTGACTTGATTGTTTTGTTGATTGGAAAGGTAAATTGTCCTTTTTTGTTGGTTAAAAAGATGTAAACGTATTTACGTCATTGTCTTGATGATCGGTCAGGAAAATCAACACTTGAGTGCCATTGTTTTAATATGTCAGTGTCAACCGATTCTTCCTGGAAAGGTGACATTTCTCATCTTCTATTAGCTCAACAAGATTAATTAACACCTTTGATTATTTGTTTTTTTCTTCCTTTTTTTCCTCTTCAGGCCGAGAAGACTAAAGCAAGCAAGGAAATGACAGAGAGTCGGTTGACTCAACTCCAGGGATCCGCTTTACTTCAACCAATTGAACTGTCAACTTTGGTTTAAAATAAACAATAATAATTATTTATCTGGTTAATTCAGTCTAGTTTAAATGAAGTCACACATGTATTTAATAAAGAAAATTGTAAATGCCATGATCAATCGTAATTCAATGCTCTCCATGTTGTTCCTGTCATAAGATCTAAAAAAGGTACAGATTGGATTGCTTTCAACAATAATTTTTTCGTGCTGATTCAATACTGCCGCAACAGAAAGTCAGACAATTTTGACAGTATTTCCTTCGTCGCGACTCTTGAGACGGCTTCGCCCACCAACGATTGAAACGTGCTTGCTGTCTAAATTAGATTGCATTGTCTCTTTTCTGGCCCTCAGAGGGTTTACATTTTCTTGAATTTGTATTTTTTCGCAAAAAATTGTAAATTTTTATGTTTATCCTTCACTAGATATACATAATGTATATACAGTAGATATATTAAATGAAAATACACAGATTTTTCATCCTACACTTGATGATTAATGGCTAATTAAAATGTAAATAAAGTAGGTAAAATAGAAATTGATTAATTATCGCAGCGCATTAAACGAAAGTAAAGATTTTTACTCAGATATGCCTGTTTGAAAATCCACTTTTTGTCCGCGTATTGAACATTTAAAAGAAGTGACATTTATATACGCAAGTAAAGTCACAAGCGGTGATGAGTGGGTATTTTCAGGAATGAAAATGTGATCAAAAGCTGATCAACTAACTTTCTAAATATTAAACAAATCTTTAAAATGCTACTAGATTTAGATTAATTGGCAACTAAGAGATCGCATTTTTTGTTTTCTCATCGCTGATCTTATTACCTTATGATTTTTTAGTTTTCACGCAAGGAAAATGAACTAATAATGATTAGCCATAATTAGTAAATCAGTCGATAAATTTTTTGACCATTCATCGAAATTTCCTTTATTTCATCGTAATGGCGTTGACTTTGAATTCATTGATTTCATTGAAATTATTGATTCAAGCTTAGGACGCATAGAAATCTATCAGATCGATTCTGATTACCATTTCATCTCTTCGAAGTAAAATTACCCCTGTAACATAATTAGTTTCATCTTATATCGGCTGTGTTGCATTTTCACGAATAAAGTTTAGTTAAGTTGATGGAGTACACCGACTAGTGACTCCATCTTTATCTTATTATATTTTTCTTACTACCGGTATCTTAAAATTGAACTAGATGGCGCTTTTATTTAATTTTTTAAAATTAGTCGACAAAATGGCGTATAAACATCCAATATCTGGTTTTAGTAAATTGTGTTATCCACTTTTTTAGTTTTAATTCTATATTTTGTTCATTTGTGTACAGCAATCATGCCCAAAAGAAAACATGCCGATGAAGACAAAAGCTCCAATAACCAGATGATATATGGTCAAAGTGATTGTGGAGGTAGAGCAATGCTTCGTGGAGGTAGCTTAAGATGTGAAGCTCCTTTTTCAACGGATCTTGAAGCCGTTAAAGAACGGGAAGCCTGTGATTACTCTATAAAGATAGATATGGAAACTGCAAAAGCCGGTCAAGCTCCGAGAAGGATTCGTATTTATGCGGATGGTATTTATGATTTATTCCACCTAGGACATGCTAGACAATTAAAGCAAGCCAAAAATGCCTTTCCTGACGTTTGGCTTATTGTTGGTGTCAACAATGACGCGATGACCCACTCTCTCAAAGGAAAAACTGTGATGAATGAAGATGAAAGATACGAAGCTGTTAGATATTGTTGTGTTGTCGATGAAGTTATCCGTGATGCACCTTGGGTGTTAACAGAAGAATTTTTAACACAGAATAAGATTGATTTTGTTGCTCATGATGAAGTACCTTATACATCTGATGGTCAAGATGATGTTTACGCTCTAATCAAACAAAAAGGAATGTTTTTACCAACGCAAAGGACTGAAGGTGTATCAACTAGCGATTTAGTAGCCCGGATTGTTAAAGATTATGATATTTATGTACGACGTAACTTAGCCAGAGGATATTCTGCCAAGGAAATGAACGTATCATTCATAAATGAGAAAAAATTCCTACTTCAAAACAAAATGGATGAACTGAAAGACAAATTTGAAGAAAAGAGACATGGTTTTATACATACATGGGAAGAGAAATCAAGAGATTTTATTGGTAGCTTTCTTGAATTATTTGGTAGAGAAGGAGCCTTGAATAACCTTTGGAATGAGAGCAAGGGCAGATTACAAAGAGCTATTTCTCCGCCGCCTAGCCCTTGAATATTTCAAGGATTATCTATTTAATTATACCTTCATCTATTCTACTTTTAATCCAACAATCAAGGAAATGCGATCCTAGGTAGATGAAATAGTAAATAAAATTGTTTTACAAATTTTCCTGTTTTAACGATTAATTGTTGCTTGTTTTCGCAAAAAGCATTTATTTATTGTCATGGTTTATTAGGATATCTGATTTTTTATATTAAATTTTCTCATCCAACCATCGATTTAATATATTTCATGGTAAGATGTATTTCTGTCAAATTATTTATAAAACAAAGTCTAAGAACACAGTTGAGATTTTAGGAAACATTTTCTACTGATTTCCAATCTTGTTTACCAAATTTTAATTTTAAAACAAAGCTATTTATAATTGAAAATTGTTCATCAAGTTTTCCTCATTTAATCAATTGTACAAAAGCAGCTAAACAATTGTCAATCAAAGTGAGTAAAGCCAACAATTTATTTCATCATTTATTAAAGCTTGTCAAGCTAATTTTAATCACAATTGTCCAAGAAATTTGCTTGAATAATCGTAAATAAAAATTCAAGTATTTTGGGGTTAATTTCCCTCAATTGCATTTATTTCTAATTTTCTAGTAATCATAGTTTATTCGGTTGACTTTACACTCTCTGGTAAAAATTAATTCAATGAATCGACGTCAAACAATCAATCAAACGTAATGTGAATGAGAAAAAATAGAAGAAAACTATTTAACAATTTATTAATCATTTGTAATAATAGAGGAAACTTGCCAATCAAGTACCACTCAAGACATGAAAAGACATGAAAAGACGTCCCGTTTGATGTATTGTGATACAATTAACATTTCTCAATGTAAACGTGAACAACTATTAGTTAATAATAGATTATATGTAATATCAGGTTGGACTGAAACTTGAAAATGAAAGATAGCAATCAGGTTATTTCCCTGGTTTCCCAGATCTTTCAACTTTTCATGGCATCTTCAAGAGCTGACAAGTTTATGTAAATAACAGTTACTTTGTCCATTGATTCATTAACTATTGAATTTATTTGACCAGCAAAGTGTGTTTATTGCTGTTACGAAGTAATTTTTTTTGTTTCTTTGATTCATTTCCATGACATTACCATGTGAAGTTGTGATGGAAATTATTACAAGTTTTCTGCAAATGTTAAAGTTTTAAGTGGTTTAACACCAAAACCACTTGATTTTGATTACAATCTTTCAGATGTTAGCAACTCACAATATGTCAGTATAAATACAATTTACTATTACAATTTACTAATATTAATGAATGATTTTACAAAATTAACTTTAATTAGACAGAGCAAGTATTCATTTTAAACCATTTTATTGAGTTTGGCAAGAGGCATTAATATTGTTCATTTCATTTTGACTAAATAATTTTACTTGCTTATGTCAATTAGTTATTAAATATCTATCTATCCATATTTACAAAAATTCAACGAGATAAACCTCAACAGAGAAAAGGGTTTATCGTTTATCAAAAAATCAAAACAAAAGGTAAAGTTAGTTACAATGTAAAAACCAAATTATCAAAAAAGATGTCCTTTTAAAAGGTTTCATATTCAGGTTGAATATGTTTACACAAAAAGTGATAGTTGGTGAGGTTAAGAAAAAAAAGTGAAATAAATAACAATTCAAGTTGTGCGTATTGCGACTTTGAAATTGTGTGGCGAAAAATTTAGCGACGATTGTACAAAAGCAAAATGAGACTTAGTTTGGTCTTCAGTTGATTATATTGCGTTTGTCCTAAAGTCTTGTGATCGATTACAAGAATGAATCGCATTTAATGCGGCAAAATTATTAGAGTTTCCTTCGAGACGCGAAAATACTTTTAGGCTTCTTTTTGAATGGATCAGTAACTCGCAGCTCCTTAAGTATTGACTTTTTACACGATAAATTGCAATGGTCTTTGGCTTCATTGAAACGATATGATAATCTGTAAGAAAAAGATGAGAAGAGTTATAAATAGCTTGACAATTGGATGATAAAGTTGTATTGAGTGATTAATCAAAGTATTCAATTTGAATTGTAATATTCTTTTCAATGGAAGAAATCAAACAATAAGAATTGATTATGTTAAAGAATAGTCTGGACAATGAAAAATATTCATCTTGGTAAACCGGATTTTGGTCAGGTTAGGCTCTTTTGGTTTATAATGAAACTGAAATCAATAATTCAATTTTTGTCTGGACATAGAGAATAAAATTTACATTCTAATGATGTATTCACATCTTTAATGGAAGGTTTTAATTGAGATTCACTTTTACTGTACTTTAGATGCAAAAATATACTAATGAAAAACGTGAATCTAATGCATTGATGATAAATTTGAATTTAATGAATTGATGTGGGTTACTTTGTCGAGTGTTAGGAGAGTGCAGAAAAAAAAGTATTTTGCTTCAATTAAGTTGAAATTCTGAATGATTTATTTTACAACTTAATTCTAAGAATAATAAGATTAACGCAAGTTTGGCTGTTAATTTACTAAACTGGATCGAACGCCTGACCAAAGCGATAAGCAAATATTTCCGGTTAGATAATTATAAATTCTGAATTGTAATACCTTCAGTGATAAAAGATATTACGTGAGTTAAGACATGTAGTCAAAACTTGAAACTAGAAACTAACAAAATTAGAAAATATCCAGAACTTAAACTAAATCATTTCGTATTATTATATTGTTATGATTATATGATTTGTCTAATTTTCGTTGACTTTTAGATAAACTATTGACCTACTCTTATTTTTTTCTGTATTATATTTTAGTCTTTTTTTCACTTTTTTTCAATATCAAAGAAAAACTATGAGATTGGAAGGACTTGAAAAATAATTCTTACCTGTAAAAGTGTTGAAAAAGTCTATCATCAAAATCTAATTTATCTATTAAAGCATCCCAACCTTCAGGTCCTAAATGGTGAAGATCAAATTCATCTAAAGCTGTATAACCTCTACGCCATTGAGGGCCCAAAGGACTCAGATTAGCTTCCGTTAAATTAAAGTAAATTGTTTCATGGTCCTTAATAAATCCAACATTATCAGTATGGTAGACACGATATGCTGGATTATGATCAGTGTAAGGTGTTATACTTGGCCCAATGTAAGCCATGGAAGTAGGTTTCTCTGAATTGTATGGTGAGTATAAAACACGAAATTCATCATGATGAGTGTGACCAAAATATTGAGCTAAAACAATCGATGAAAAACGATCAATTATCCTTAGATAATTGAATAACCAAGCTTGTGTACATTCTTTATCATCAGGAGGAACATGACCAATAATGTGCACTTTATCACCAGAATTTTCAGCATCATAAAGCTCATCAACCAACCATTTCAATTGACTTCCAGGATCAATTGGATTATATAACGTCCAGGGATTAAGTCGTGTACAATAATTAGTATTAATACTAGTTATCCTAAAACCAGGTCTGACTTTGACAGTATAATAGCCACCACTAAATCAAGGAAAAAACAAGAAAAAAATATAAATTAGACATCAATAATTAACATCAAAGTTGCAAGACGTTCAAAAGGTTTCATACAAAAACATAAAACTAATCAACAAGTTTTGGTGAAATATCCAATTGACATTAAACATTAGAAAGTCCTGTAAAACTTACTCATGTTAGATAGACTTTTCCATGCAAAATCAACATAATTAATTGCTTTTAAAACTTGTTTAAGTTCAATAATCAATTTAATAATTTCAACTTGAAATTGACAATTGAAGACTTCAATTTGGAGTCATATGTTGACTATTGAGGTTGCGCATTTTCTGCTGCAAAAAAGCGCTCCTTTTGATTATATTCAATTTTTTATTAACCTTAATTTTTTTACCTAAAAATTGGTTGAATGGATCAACCTTTAATTGTTAAGCATTTGTCAAGTGATTAGCTGGTCAACTTACTATCTTAAGGTTCTAACTGCATCATCAGGTAACCAATATGACCATTCTTGAGCCAGAACATCGTATAACCAAGAGATGGAAACTGGTCCTTTCACTTCTGGTGGAGCAAAGCTGTTTATCGTTCAGAAAGAAATGATTAAAAATGATTAACAATTTAACGTATTGGTAAATCTTTAATATGATAACTACTGAGTTTCTTTAACTTGCTTCATAATAACAACAATTTGAAAAGATATCAGGAAAAAGGAAAAAAAAGATCAATCAGATCAGTAGAAATTTTTGCGAAACATTTATCCAACTTCATTTTGAAACATTACAATAATGAACAATAATGTTGATCATTATATATTTTTTCCGTTTCCATTATCATGATAACATCTACAAAAATAGAGATTTAATCAAATTGCATTTAATTGCAACAAAAAGTCAACAATAATTGAATAACTTCTGATAATGAAAGGATAAAAATGTAACTTCCATTGATGTTGGACAACAACAAAAAAGTGAAACATTCTACTCTTGATTTACACACAATAATCAATGTAAGTGTGTTTACGTTAATTAATCAGAATTAGCTTAGAAATCAATTTCAATTTTCTTATTTTTTCAACTCATTTCCTTGATAACCTTATTCAGGACAGTTATATTGAATTACATTCAATGTTATTTAAATAATTTTTCATCTTAATCACGTTCATCTTTCTGGCTTATAAGTTTACCATTAGAGGAATGGTTTTGACTTTAACTTCTCATTGCCCATCAACATCATTAAAGGTTCAACTGCTGCAAAGCAAATCTTTGATTGTCAAATGTGTTCATTGATAATGATTATCATCATGAAAGGAAGAGGACAACAAGTGCGTTCCTAAGGGCAGCTCAGATTATAATAGAGAGCAAAATTGAAAAAAATATTCATCAATCAACTGTTGCTTAAAGCGTAATCAAATCACTTTCATTTTTAGATGCTCAACATTTTAACCATTCAAGCTTGATCAACATTCACTGACAAAACATCTATTAAGATCTATCTGTCAAGTTTCATGGCAAATCCAATTCAATTTACACTGTTGGTGAAATCAATTTTCACTATTAATCGATTTCTTGGTTTAAACAGATTCAAGCCAAAACGGAGTTACAATTGATATCATCAACAGAACGCAATTTTCACCAGTTAATCAATTGGTTTACAAGGAAAGTGGTACTTTGTGTTAACTGAGGTAAATTTTGTTTGCAGTGATTAATAAAATGCTTGATTAATAGCCATTTATTGGTGCCATTTAAACAGCCATTGAAAAAGGAATTGATATTTAGATTGAATTATTATAAAATAGGAGAAATAAATTAACTAACTTTACATTATGATTGATGTTTTATTGCTTCAAGCAACTGATAGCTTTTTTGTTGTGTCTTCCTAGTTTATTTACCTTGAAGCTTCCTTAATATTCATTAATTAGATCAAATCATGTTATGATGGAAATGAATAGAGCATAATATTTGAATAATTAATTGTTTGGCTAAATGTTTGATTGAATCTGATTGGGTTTTAATATGGTTAATCGACAATTAAAACCAATGTATTACTATGGTTAAAATAGTTGTCTATTAAGTCACTGTGAGTAGACATTTTGTTGCCAGAAAACTGTTAACATTGAAACTGTTGGTTGAGATTTAAATTTAATAATAATAATTAGAAACAATTGAGGTTATAACATACCTGTTTACTGGAACTGATTCATGATTACCGATAACTGGGTAAACTGGAACTCGTGAGAATCTCTTAAACATATTAGTGATTAATTTAATTTGGCTAATAACTTCTTTTCTGGTTATATTCCAGACATCATGAGGAGCAATATCTCCTGTCCACATCCAATAACGGGCCTAATATGTTGTTTAATTAAAATAAAATACAAATGGTATTAGAGATGAATAAAAATTCAGGTTGGTTTGGTTGGTGATAATAATGATCATTAAAAAACATGATATCAACAACATCAACAAGTGAACACAAGCTAATTTAAATTCAAGTCAACGAGAAGAGCAACTTGCAAAAGTCGCAATAGCAATAACCAAATTAACTTGAATACATGAAAATAAGGAAGAAAAATTTCCAATGATTAAAGATAATGATTTTAAGATTAACCTTGAATTTAAAATTTAGAGTTGACACAGAAAACTAAATTAAACATTTCAAGATGACAACAGCAACAATGATGATGTTATATGCATTAACATGCTTATTTTTTCGTGTTAAACGGATGAAATGAATGATCAATACATCGTCATCTTTTGATTAGCGGCTCTAATCGCATTTAAAATTTGTATCTCTGAGGTAACCAGAAAACCATTTTAATTATAGTTGACAAAAATTGAGAGAGGTAAGATTAATAGTAATGTTAGAGGTTAAAGCTAACAAAAGAAAGACGAGATTTGCTGGATTGTATGAAATATTGAGCTCATACGAATATTGAAAATCCTGAAAATTGTACCCAAAAAACAATAAGCATGTTGGTAACTTACATTTGGGTGATTTTCACTGATATGTTTCAAGGCATGTCTAACAGTACGTATTGGTGTATCACAAGAACGATAATCACCCCATTTACCAGCCATCTTATCAGCTTCAACTTTACCATCAGCTGATCGACAACAAAGGGGTTCTCCACAAGCTGCGGCGGCACCTTCTTGATAGTATGGATCAATATGTATATCTGTTAAGTGAACGACACCAATCAACTTTTTATTTCCACCGAGTCCATTTAGATTAACCGAGTCTTCCAGTGAGATAGGATCACGGATATATCGATAGTGAGGTGATGAAAATAAAGACGAGCCTGATGATGATGCAGACGATGGTAAACTTATGGCTTCTCCTTGTAATGGAATAAGCCCTTCCGTATATTTACTCATGCTATTTCCTGATTGTCTTCTCCTCTGATTGGGTAAGTCACTCAATTGTAATGTTATTGATGATCTTCTATTGATTATGTTACTTTGTTGTTGCGGTTTATTAGGTATTGGTATGGTCCAATTGAGATTTTCCGTGACCGTTCTGACACAATCAACGCCCAATAGGAGACCACACATTTCACGATGTGTTAAACGACTTGACCGTCTGATATAATCTAAATCATCTGCAAATGATTCAACTACACCCAAACAGACTCTTTCCGTGGTCCTCATTAGATGGCTAAACTGTTTACAGACGACTCGAGCTGCTCCCACCATAACTTCCTTTGTGTTCAATGGGGACAAATAGAGAGACATAAGACTATTGCAAGCTAAACAATTAATCTTGGATGATGATCCAATTCTTAAGTCTTCCGAGACCTGAGTAAAATTTACTGATCGCAACATTTTGGTTAAAGTGGCTACAAGAAAATTTTTACGACTCCGAGTTGGTCGAGGTTTAGCTTTAGACTGTAATTCCTCTTGTTTAATCACTTCCAGTTCAATCGATTCTAAAGCTCCTCCATTGAGATCACTATCAATAAGACCATCTGATGTTATATATGAAGGGTAGCCATGATGAATTGGATGATGGAGATGAGACGGATGGAGTAAAGTGTGGTGAGATGAAGATGCTGATGAAGATGAAGATGAGGTTGATGATACTGATGACGGGGAATCATTATCAAGAGATTTGCGTTTAACAAAAGATGAAACAATCGCTTTAAGAACAGGAAACCGTCTTCGTCCCCTTGCCCGTTTAGGAAATTTGATTGTAAGCCTAGGTAATGAAGATGACGAGGATGAAGACGCTGTTAATGGTAAAGAGGATGATTCACTAGATGATTTTAACTTAATTTTTGGCAAAGAAACTGAAGATGCTGATAATGATGAAGGCACAGATGCTGCTGCAGCCACAGAAACTGACACTGACGATGAAGCTGCCGTCAAAGAGGCTGAAGATGATGAAGAAGATGATTTCAAAGAGCCTTGGGACGAGGACAAGGAGGAGGACAGAGGTTGTTGAGAAAGTGATCGGTGTACATCACTGTATCCAGTGTCCACTAAAGAAATGACCACAACCCAAATGTAAACAAAAGAACATAACCAATCCATTGTGTTACCATTTACTCTGGTAACTATTTTTTTCACTCAGACTCAATTATAATGCAAGTTAATCACGATATTGGTAACATTAGAAAAAAAATAAATAATTACTGGATTTGGAATACAAAAATTCTTGTTGTAATTTGTCGTTGACTTGTTTATGTTGCTGATCTGCTGGTGTTGCTGTTTGTTTAATCTTCAATCAACTTCTAACAACAAAACCGAGTCGAGCTCTTAACGCTCCAAAAGATTCAATCCTGCGGATATCAATCACCATTTCAGTTCCGATTCATAAGAAGAAAAAGAAGAAACAGAAGAAGAAACAGAAGACGAATAAGGAGAGGGAGAGGAGTCGATAAGTGAGAGAAAAGGAGAAACAAGTTTTGAAACTTTTACTAACTCACTTATCTTCGCTCTTTTCCTGTCTATTTACCTTTCTTTTCTTCTTTTCCACTTATCTCCATCTCGATCTTTAGCTTCTTTCTCTTTCCCTCTCTCTCTCCTACATCTCCCTCTCATCCTTAATCTTACCCCTTCAGTCTATCATCTCTGTCTTCCCACTTATCGGGTACTTCTTTGCTTGAATCCACTTACCTTGTTATCTTCACACTTTTGCAAACATTTTCCTTGCAATTTCCTTCTTCCTTTTTTTCACCTCAATTGTTACACCACTGGGAACCACAGTTAATTAAAGCCAACCTCAAAAACAAGATTGACCCCACAAGAATCAATGAACAATCATTCATTAGCCTGGTTTAATTTCGTCCATATTGGTATTATATCAGATTCTGTGTGACTGAGCCATTCAAAGCAATCCAGATTCAACTCGGTAACCTTTTAATTTACAAATTGAAGTTCTACCTCTACTTGGCATTACTGGATATTGATGAAATTTCTGTGATTTCCCTGTCAAAATAAGTAGCCTGAATCACAAACCATTCAGCACCTACAAGGTCAGCTAGACGTTCTGGTTTTTTTGCAAGCGTGAAATTGCCATTTTCTGGTGCAAGGCAAGAGGTATTAGTCCATCATAAAACAGATATCATGAACTTAATGTATTGAACCTTGAATTTAGCCAATGGTCAATCGGATTGAAGCAGGCAACTTGACTGGACACCTAAAAAATCCTTCAGGTTAAAGATCAACGGTCGACATTTTCAGAATTTATAAATATATATCGTTTTTTATCAAAATGATATTAATAATAATCATAATTATAATAATAATTTTTATTATTTCATTTCTTTCTTAGATCAGGATTGTTACCGCCATTACAACCACTATTACAACTATTATTCAGAAGCTGTTGCTGCTGCTGATCAAGACGATGATGATGTTGATGGTGAAAACTGGTTTATGGGTGAATCAAGATGGAAACAAGAATCAAAGTATTGATAGGAACAGGACGTAAAAAAAAGTAAAGGAAAAAGAGATCATCATCTTGATGTAAAAATGGCTTAACGAGGTTGACCAAATTAAGACGAGATTATCATTTGATCGTTTACCAATCATGCTTAATTTATTCAATGGCAATAAACAGCAAGCAAACAAATGTTGGTCCAACACTGTGAACTCAATCTTTGCAAGGATGTACAAGGTGAAAGGTTGAAATGGCAGACTTGAGATAATCTAAAGAAATGAAAGCTCAAACAGTAAAGATGTTTCCTTCATGTCAAGAATCAATGTTAATCGTCTTATTGGAGAGAACTGCAAATGCTGGCCAAAAACAAAAAAGATGCTCTACTAATCAACTGATTGTGAATGATATTGTTTAAGTATTATATCTTATTGGATTGACAGCAACAGTTTAATTGAGATTGTCGAGTAGAACAACAAAAAGCTGATTACTTAAAGGTCAATATATCGAGCAATGAACATCTTTCCTTACAATTTTACTTATTTCATTGGTGCATTATTGAACAACCAGATTATCGTCTGGATGTTGACATTTGTTCAGGTTTATTGTTGCAATGAACCCGATGTTGATTAGCTGATTCAATCATTTACCATGTTTAACAATATTTATTGACATTACGTTGACTGTTGATGTTAATTAAACTGTATTGTTACACGCAAATGTACATTTTTATTACAGAAATGTTTATTAACTGATTGCTGTTTAAAGTTTGTTTGTTTCTTTCATTCGTTTAAATATTGATATCAATTGTATGAATGATTATCATCTTGTTAATTGTAATTATAAATCACTTTTTTTCTTCTTGTTTAGTCTTTAAACAGACTTAAGCACATCTCTACTTGTTACTTGATTAACTCCAAGGTTAATTTTTAATAAACTAATCATTTATACCGATCATTTTCGCATTAATGTGTTTTTTTTGTTGTATTTTGCTTTATGCTAAAAGTTAGATCAAGACTCCTTTTTTAATCACTCTCATTGAAGACAAAAATAAACCTTAAATACAATCGTCAAACTTGAGATAACATTACATTGAACTTCGGTCCGGATGGTTAAGCAATTAAACCAGTAAAATTGGTTAAATACAGGTTTCCTTGTTACTCTTTCAACGGTTCACAATTAGCATGTAAACTTGTTAATCATTATCAACTGTTAAACTGCCGTACTTTTTATTCGTGTATTATTTTACTTTCAATATCAAATCAAGTCCAACTTTAAATGCATTTATTTTTAATTGAATCGTTTGTATCACTTGTAGGTTGATGATCTCGATTGTTTCTTCACCATTTAGAATCATCTTTTAACATCATATAATCGGTAACAGTTTCGTTTTACGGACAAAGGTGTGAACATTAAAACATATGATTTTTTGGTTAGGTAAGTTAGATCAAGGGGCTGTTGGTTGGTCGGTCAGGTTAGGTTAGGTTAGGTTAGGTTAGGTTAGGTTAGGTTAGGTTTGGTAAGGTTAGGGTGGGCTTAGGTTGGCCTGGGGCCTTAATTAGCTTCATTTAATTCAATTGTTCATAAAGAGCGCCCTTAAAAGACGTCTACCATTGGATGATTTTTAATGTTCACGCCTTTGTCCGTAAAACGAAACTGTTACCATATAATCATCATCAAACTGTTGAACACTAAATTAATTGAGTTATATACACCTTGTGATAATTTGCTTATACCAGTCGTCTTGAGAATCAATCTATACAATTTAGAGCTAAAAAGAATTTTGATTCTAGTTTTATTGCTTGGGTCGAATCGTTATTATACCGTCGTTAATATTACAAAATGAGCTATTCTCAAAATTCACTTGTTTTAATAAAAATAGATATAAGTTGACACTTAACACCTACAAATTAGATATGCAAAATATTGAACTTTATTTTATGTTTATAGATTTTAAATTAATACGTTTTAAGAAATATCCTGTGACTCAGAGACTTCGGACTAACCGCAAAACACGGTCAGCTTTAGAAGCAATATCATCAATGACAGCTTCGAAACGTCCTTTAGGTGGTTGTGGCTTTCGTGGTTCAGGTCGCTCTCCACCATGATGTCTTCGTGGTTCTGGTTGTTCACCACCATGATGTCTTCGAGGCTCTGGTTGCTCTCCACCGTGATGTTTTCGAGGTTCAGGTTTCTCTCCACCGTGATGTCTTCGTGGTTCAGGTTGTTCACCACCGTGATGTCTTCGAGGCTCTGGTTGCTCTCCACCGTGATGCTTTCGTGGTTCAGGTTGTTCACCACCGTGATGTCTTCGAGGCTCTGGTTGTTCACCACCGTGTTGTCTTCGAGGCTCTGGTTGTTCACCACCGTGTTGTCTTCGTGGTTCAGGTTGTTCACCACCGTGATGCTTTCGAGGTTGAGGTTGTTCACCACCGTGATGCTTTCGAGGTTCAGGTTGCTCTCCACCATGATGTCTTCGAGGCTCTGGTTGTTCACCACCGTGTTGTCTTCGTGGTTCAGGTTGTTCGCCACCGTGATGCTTTCGAGGTTCAGGTTGTTCACCACCGTGATGCTTTCGTGGTTCAGGTTGCTCTCCACCATGATGTCTTCGAGGCTCTGGTTGTTCACCACCGTGATGTCTTCGAGGCTCTGGTTGCTCTCCACCGTGATGCTTTCGAGGTTCAGGTTGCTCTCCACCATGCTGTCTTCGAGGCTCTGGTTGTTCACCACCGTGATGTCTTCGAGGCTCTGGTTGCTCTCCACCGTGATGCTTTCGAGGTTCAGGTTGCTCTCCACCATGATGTCTTCGTGGTTCTGGTTGTTCCCCACCGTGATGTCTTCGAGGCTCTGGTTGCTCTCCACCGTGATGCTTTCGAGGTTCAGGTTGCTCTCCACCATGCTGTCTTCGAGGCTCTGGTTGTTCACCACCGTGATGTCTTCGAGGCTCAGGTTGTTCCCCACCGTGATGCTTTCGTGGTTCAGGTCGCTCTCCACCATGATGTCTTCGTGGTTCTGGTTGTTCCCCACCGTGATGTTTTCGAGGTTCAGGTTTCTCTCCAACGTGATGTCTTCGTGGTTCAGGTTGTTCCCCACCGTGATGTCTTCGAGGCTCTGGTTGCTCTCCACCGTGATGCTTTCGTGGTTCAGGTTGTTCACCACCGTGATGCTTTCGTGGTTCAGGTTGTTCACCACCGTGATGCTTTCGAGGCTCTGGTTGCTCTCCACCGTGATGTTTTCGAGGTTCAGGTTTCTCTCCACCGTGATGTCTTCGTGGTTCAGGTTGTTCCTCACCGTGATGTCTGCGAGGCTCTGGTTGCTCTCCACCGTGATGCTTTCGTGGTTCAGGTTGTTCACCACCGTGATGCTTTCGTGGTTCAGGTTGTTCACCACCGTGATGTCTTCGAGGTTCAGGTTGTTCACCACCGTGATGCTTTCGTGGTTCAGGTTGCTCTCCACCATGATGTCTTCGAGGCTCGGGTTGTTCACCACCGTGATGCTTTCGTGGTTCAGGTCGCTCTCCACCGTGATGTCTTCGTGGTTCAGGTTGTTCCCCACCGTGATGTCTTCGAGGCTCTGGTTGCTCTCCACCGTGATGCTTTCGTGGTTCAGGTTGTTCACCACCGTGATGCTTTCGTGGTTCAGGTTGTTCACCACCGTGATGCTTTCGTGGTTCAGGTTGTTCACCACCGTGATGTCTTCGAGGTTCAGGTTGTTCACCACCGTGATGCTTTCGAGGTTCAGGTTGTTCACCACCGTGATGTCTTCGAGGTTCAGGTTGTTCACCACCGTGATGCTTTCGAGGTTCAGGTTGCTCTCCACCATGATGTCTTCGAGGCTCGGGTCGCTCTCCACCGTGATGTCTTCGTGGTTCAGGTTGTTCCCCACCGTGATGTCTTCGAGGCTCTGGTTGCTCTCCACCGTGATGCTTTCGTGGTTCAGGTTGTGCACCACCGTGATGCTTTCGAGGTTCAGGTTGCTCTCCACCATGATGTCTTCGAGGCTCGGGTTGTTCACCACCGTGATGTCTTCGTGGTTCAGGTTGCTCTCCGCCAAATTCGCCAATCTCTTCGAATTTCATTTCTTCAAGATCGTCATCCTGCAATTCGAGCTTATTGTGTTCGAATGCATTAGCAGTTAAACTGCATAGCACAAAAGTTATAATCAAAAACTTCTTCATTTTGTTGTTGTTATGTTGTTTTCACAGTTGGTTATATTTTTTCAATTGATGAAATAGTTCGGGTAGCTCACTGTATTTATATGTTTTAATTTGCAAGCTTATCTAAAGATATGAAAAATTCCTTCGTGATTATCCAGATTAATAGTAATTGTTCATTTTATTCAAGCTCATAAACATCCTTTTCTTATCTAGAATAGAGTTGTAAAAGGAGGAAACAATAGTGATATTTATTATATGGATTCATAATTGTATCTAAAGAATTCGATCAAAATATTCAATTTCAAATGATAGATTAGGTCATATCTGAAATATGTAAGTGGAAAATCCAATTTATTGATTATCAAATCAACTCGCACAATAGAGCAAACAGATTAGTTTAAATGAGTCGATCAAACAGTACTAGAAGAAAACGTTGAATTGTTCCAGGATTACAAAAGAAATGAAGTAATCTAACTAATAATCTTACATGGAATGTACAACTCAGACATTCCTTTGTCAATCAATCAATACAAAACAATCTTGATTGAGATTCCTAAATTAAGATTCGTCAGGTGAAGTTTTGTACATTCAAGAATAAATCAAGGCAGATAGCCTAACAAGGTTAGCGATTCTGCAATACTATTGCATCGACATCAATACTTTTCTCGTTGACCTAAGGGTACTTAATCTGCTTGCCAAGTGTGTTTTTATATATTTCATCACTCGCGCCTCATGGCTGAATGTCTTTCTATACTATTTAATATTTTGCGATACAAATATCGTTCCTTTCGATTTATACCAGAAGTACAACCGAGAACCTCTAGTTAGACGCACAGGCAGCCTTTAATCGTTAAAATAAAGATACGTTTTTCAATAATAATTGATTGCTTGAGCCTTTCTGACCGCAACACCCTTTATAATGGGCTATAATATTACAGTATATGACTGAATACCAGAAAAATCTGACCTATTTACTAAAAAATATCCTTTTAAAACATAATTTGTTTGAATAATCATGCACCTTTATTAATGAAACATTGATCTGAACACACGAGTACAATGCTAGTACTTTTCTTACATGATCTTGAATGATCTTATATTTATACATATAATGGCTCACATCAAAATAATTGGTCAAAGAAGGGTGATTGTAGGTGCTGTCATTCTCGAAATATCTAGGCTCAAAGCTTTGGGGCAAAAGGCCAAATTCAAGAGAACTGTCGATTAATTGAAAAATATGTTCGACTGTTGATGTTTAGCAACTATTCTTATCCACAAAAAAATAAGTTAAAACTCTCTTACTCTTGTCGTCACTCAAAGCATCAGGTTCAACCGAAAATCTCTTGAACAGAAACAGAAATATTTCCAGAAATGTGTGCATTTTTTGGTTGATCCTCAAAAGTTGCTAAAAATGAGTTCGATAAAAAATCTCGTTCCACAACTGTACGAAAGACTATCGAAGTTTAAACTCTGTCCTCGATCTTTTCGGAAACTGTCGATCAGAGAAAATTTTCGATAGCATTAATGGGCTCAAATTTATGCCCCTACAAACCCCTACAAAGACTCAACTCTTACTTGAAAGGAAAATTTTCTGTCTTTCTTTCGGCACTCATTTCTATTTAGCACCATATTTTCACAATTTCACATTAAAATTGACTTATTTTTGCACAATTATTAAACCTTTACTTTAATAACTCAATGATGCCTGTAAATCCAGTCAAACTGCCTCATTTATTGAAAATTTTGCCTTCCATTTCTTAAGTTCGTTTTGTTAATTCAAGCTTTACCTGAAATATCATTGTCAATTCACATTGAAAATACCTTTTCAGAAATGAAATCATCTTTAATCACTTGTTAAGATTAAACACTCTTTAATTAACAATAATTAATTCTGGATAAAACGGTGAAGTCAAGTTACACAAGTCTATGATAAAACACTTGCAATTGTTTAGATTTCTATCTTTATTCTGAAAGATGGGCTGAAATAGCGCATCAATAGTGCTTTGAAACTGACTTATTTCATTATCTCTACCAAGACTAAACATAAGAAATGATTTTTTCCATTTTTTACATTGAATTTTGGATGAGCATAAGGTAATGCAACTAAAAATTGCATTTAATGGTTAAAACAAAATAACCTGTTAAGATTTTGATTCAATTTTTTTATTTAAGCAAATTATTATAAAAACTGCCAATACACCATCGAAACTAGCATTTTGAATGCTTTCGCGATCATACATGCATCTAAAAATTCTATTGAAATAGTTGAGGAAAAATTGTTTAATTTTCGAGGCCAGTTTAGACGGTTTTCACTTTTGTCTTCGACTAGTTTCAGTATCCGACGGGTTTTAATTTCGTCTAATTTATATGACTCTATCGATGAATTGGATTTCAAACGTTTTCATATACGATTCACTGTTGATCTAGACACATTTAAATACTTAACATGGTTAAATAGTTGATTAGCATTAGAGACATTACCGCTAAAATATAAATCACTGGTCACTTTTATGTGTTCATTTAGTGACAATATGGTTGAAAATGTATCAAAATTATGGGTTAAAAATACTTGAAATTAATCGTTAGACATCACGTCTGATTAATTTGACATTTGGTTCCATTATGTCTATTCGTTTTCTCGATATTCAATTTTGAAGTTATGTGTCAATTTTTAGTTGCATTACCTTAGGTTCAGTTTGACGAGAACTTTCGATCGATACCATTTTTACGTTCATCATGTTTTTGTGGAAAAACGGTGAAACTAAACAAACATTATAGATCGTTTCATATCATCCTGAAACTCCAATCAAACTCTCAATCAAGATTATTTCAAAACTGAATGTTTCGATATCAAGCACATTCCTGAATATGAATTATATCCATTGTGATAAACTTGTATCCTGTTAATTGTTTTTTTATTGTTCAAAGTAAAAACCTGAAATTCTTTCGTGATAATCATCAGACTCAATTTTAGAACCGCATTCTTGAAGCAGATATTCTTGCTCAATGATAAATATTTACTTGCTTCATGGGAATCCATTGTTTAGAGCAAACCCAGTCGTAAATTTTCCGACTGACTCGATAAGAAATGAAAAGATTCGTAGATATGATCAATTTATCACATTACGAAATTATTCAAACACATGTTGACAGTGTGAATTTGACAAGTTTTGAATGGTATATAAAGATTCGGAAAATGAAATGATGTTACCAGTTAATCAAAACATATTAATAATTCAGTTTGTACTAACGAATTAAACAAATAAAAAATGAAAACTTTGATTGTTTTAGTTGTTCTCTGCAGTGTCACTGCCATCCTTGCTGCCCCTAAAGACGAAGGAAAACATCATGGCCCACAACCCGGACCAAAGCCAAAACCTGAGCCTCGCCCTGGACCAAACCCCATCGAGAAGAAGCTGGACATCATTCTGTTCAAATTGGACGAGGTTTTGAAAGCAATTGAACGATTACCTCACCCACCTCCACCACCACCACCAACTACTACGGTTGCCCCAACAACTGCTGAACCAACAACCGCTGCACCTGCAACCACTTCAGTTTAAAGCCCTTTGAATCCCTTTCAAAATCAATCTGAAATGTCTTAACCAAAAGTTACAAATTGATTTGTAAATGTTCAATTGTTTAGTAACATAATTCAAAACATCGCTGAACTGTTTAAATGATTGAGTGACTATCGATTAACATTTATTGTCATTTTTTGTAATCTTTTTGGTTAAAAATCAGAATGATTCTTATTATTCCTAATAGTTGATCAATAAATTTGTTTGCGCATTAAAAATGTTTGTTTTATTGAATGTAACTAAAAGAGGAAAGTGCTAATAAAGTGACTTTTAAGACGAGTCACATCGAGTTAATTGTTGATTTTTGTCTTATTTAATAGTAACTAATTGATTGCGCTGATTAGTTCGTGATAACTAATGAAAAATGGAAAATTTGATTATTTTGCTTGTTCTATTCTGTGTCACTGTAATTTCACAGCTCATCGCAACGTGAGATTAACAGAGAGGAACTATATGCCCTTCAAATCAAAGCCTCACTTTGATTCAAATTCACCCACTTGTGGTTCCCTTATAAGCTTCGATAACATCGTCTGTACAATGTGGTCTATCAATCCTATCCAAATGCAGTCCATCCAATCACACCAACTAAATGGTTCACCTGTTTGTCCGTAGCTATTGATCTCTGCACTTTGACTACTGTTCTTCGTTTCATTTTTTGCTTTTTCACTGACAATCTAACTTATATCAGCGACATATTTGTTGGCATGAGACATGCATATGCACTTCGAATATTAGCTCTTTGTGGTAATGCTTGTTTGGGTGGTTTCAGAGCCATATCGTGTTACTTGGTACGGACCGGATCCCTTGATTGGACTAAAGTGATTGATAAAGCAATGGTCAATGGATGGGAACCTGAAGTACTCAACATGAAGAAAGCATATTGTTTGAAGTGGAGACAAACAAGTGTTTTCATTGCTCGACAAATAATTGGTCCATCATTAGTCCATGCTACTGTTTGGATAACTTGTTTCGCTTATTTGACGTTCAATTGTAAAACATTTTATATTTTATTACAAAATCCACTTATTTTGCGTTTCTGCAAGTTATCGCACTTATTTCAATCCCAATGTTGGTTTGTGTCACAAGTTGTTTGGATTTCTTTACTCTATCTCATAACCTTTTTCTATGTGACCAGCAAATCAAATTCATTTATAGCGAAATACAGGAATCATTAAAACTCCAGATTTTATCATATTCAGCATTGAAAAAACTTTGCAACCAGAATATTTCATTCCTCAACGAATTCGATAACATTAACCATTTGATGCGTTACATTTCTTATTCTGGTTACACTTTAGTTAGCTTAGCTGGTTAAGTTGCTATGCTTTACTCATACCTTGGACTATTTGGAATGCCATTAGCTGATCTTGGTTTGGGTATTAACGGCTTTAATGGTGTATTCCAAATGGGTACAATTTCATTTTTAGCAGCCAAATCAGTGGCTAATGTATGCATTAACACGAAAATAGCAGATACGCACATTTTTAATACAGTTTTATTTCATCAACAGATTGGCCTTTCTTACTCTCGTTATCATAGGATTTATCAAAACAATTACGAATAACGAAATCGCATACTGGAAAAATTGATGCAAACTTTTTGTCTGACCAATTACTCACAAGTTTACAATAAAAAGAAACTTTTTCATTGCTCATTTCATTTCAATTTTTTGTCCTTCTTCAAAGTAATATTTGTTAGAAGAGAAAATCAAGTGTGTTTTCAAGTTAACAGATGGCACCTAACGACATTTTTTATTGACAAAATCAGTCTTACATCGCGTTCAATCGTCATTCGGTTGACAGTCAGCTGTAAAAAATTCTATATAGCAGCAAAATACACTTATTCTTATAATGAATATCAGAGTACAGGTATGTCAGAATATCAGGTAACTATGAAAATTTTGGCTCATGATTGCAATGATCATCAGGGCAGCATCGTGTGACTTTCTACGAAATGGATTCCATGATTGGCCCAAAAAGACAAAAAGAAAATAAATGATCGATGGATGGAAACCTGAAATGTTAAACATGAAGAAAGCATATTGTTTGAAGTGGAGACAAATAAGTGTTTTCATTACACGACAAATAGTACATCATTAACCACTGCTTTAGTTTAGTTAACTTGTTTCGTTCATTTGACAGTCAATTGTAAGACAGTCTTCATGGCACTAAAAAATCCTTTGTGTATGATTGTATAGATTTAAGCACGCGATGGAATCAATATTTCAATAGAAATCTCAAAATCGAAATGAAGAATAAGAATAAATATCAGAGTAAATATGACATTTTTTCCTTTTATAATTTCTTCTGTTCATTTCAATCGCAGTGAAGTTGCAATGTCTATTGGCACTATTCTTAAAATTGAAAAGCTAAAGGAACAAATATCCGAACTTTTTCATGCTATAATCGGCTGGCCTCAAATAGATATTGAACATGATAAAGCTGTGGAAGCAATCAAAAGATTCATGTTTTTCGGAAAGCTGTCAAATATCGTCTACTGACAAATCTTCGGCTGACAGAAGTTCAGCTCCTCATAACAAACTTGATAATTTGAGGATACTTGAGTTATGAACTTTTTTGGGTTTTTGTTTGTTTGGGTACCAATAGATGTCAGCAGGTTCAAGTTTACCTTTTTGGGTAAAAAAAACGATCGTTTGTGATTGGCTGGTTTTAAACTCACGTGTTACTCTTACGGCCAGGTCAATTCAAATTTTGGTCAACACACAACAAACGGCTTTAGTTAAATGTCTAAATCTTTTTTACCTGTTTCTCACCTTGGTTACCTTTTGTTTCCCTTTGTGCTTCCAGTTCATAATTTATTCATTGATTGTTTTGCTTCTTTTTTTGGCGGGCCAATTTTTATCCACATTTTTATTGGTGATTGTTTCATTTAATGTTCAAGGATTCAGTGTATCATCAATTTTGAATTAGCAATCAACAATCCAATGATTAGTGTTTACTAGTGTGACTAGTTGACTTAAGGTGAAAGGGTTTCTTTTCACTTGCTCAACCTTTCTTTCAGCATTAACATTTCAAAGTTTACAACGGATTTTTACTTCTAACATACAAATTGTATTTTTTTGTTCGGATATTACAACCAATTGTGGACTTAATTTACAAGTTTTTTACAATTTTAATGTGAGTAGACTTTTTTATTTTCGTATACACTTTTCCATAACTTCAATTTGCAATCGTAACCATCAATAATTGATTATTAAACGAATAGATATTCACTCTAACCATGTCTAATGGATGCTTTAACAGCTAACTCTTTTCAATATTGATGTTCACAATCAATGTCAATTGTTAACTATTTCCCTATTTACAATGCCAACTCTGAAGATAACCATTTATCGATAATTTGTCAATTTGTCTGAAGCAAGACTTACTTGTTGATTGAATGAAAACTAACCACGAGTTATTTTGATGAAAATCACAAGTTAATTTATTGACAATTTAAAGCGATAATGTTTACATGGGAACAACCAGTTAACCTTTCAAACAGCTGTAATATTGATGGAATCAGTTGAATTTGAAGGTGAAATTGTTGTTGGTTGTGGTTCCGGTGGACTCAGTCTGTTGACTGATTGTTGAATCTCCATCAACATACCAATAATCACATCCAATTTAGCGTCAAATGGTGGCGGTGGTGGATGTGGTGGTCTAGGTCCTCCACGGTGAGGTGGACCAAAGGGTCCTCTCATTGGCGGTGGCATTGGTTGACCTGGAAAAACACCGGGTCCCGGCATGGGATCAAAATTGTTACCAAAATCTTGTGAAACAACAAGCACAGATAAGCTACTAACTATGAAAACTAATACAATTGCACCTTTCATATTGACTGAGATTGGATAAACTTTCTTTCAGATGTTGACACGAATTGAAACAAATAAATTTGATCATCTCATGTTCAATCAAAGTGTTTATATACTGAACTTTCTTCTTACCACAGAATCAATTTGAAATTTAATCATTCAATATTAATGTGGAAAAAAATATACCAGAATCGGTTGCAATTTTTTAAATTAAATGTTATTCTTTGTATGGTGATTTTTTGCTGTTCAACAAATTATGTCCAATCATTCAGCAACAATTGAATCTTCATCAATTAGACATTAAACAGCCCATCAAGTTGCAATAACATACAATTATTGAATAACAATTGACTCAACTTGTGCTAAAATTATTATCAGACAACATTGAACTTGAAAATTAATTAGCTTAACAATCAAAAACAAGCATTTTTGATACAACAACATGTAATCCGAATCATTTGAAAATTGTAAATCAAATGAAACGAGCAACTTGAAATTGTAATTAAATCTCTGTGCAATCGATATGATGAATTAAAATGAATAAAATGAAAAGATTGACACCTAATGGATCTAAAGTAAAACAAGATTTAACCAGGTAACTGGGTAAATGATAACAATTGTAGATTCATCTGTGAATCAATTGTTTCAATTTGGCAAATTGACTTGTTTCATGAATAGTTTTTTCATACTTTCTTGATGATATACTGAAACCACCATCATTATGATGATGATGGTAGACATCTAAGATGTTTTGTACCTTGAACCGTATAATTTCCGTAGGCACGAAGATTATGTTTCAACCTCCTCCTCCTTTGAATCTCCGACCTTTCCTGAAAAGTCAATTTACCTTGCCAGGCAAAGTCAGCAAACTTTCCTCCTCCTTCAGTGAAAACAGAGTATAATGATGATAAAGAGGCAAAATCTTGAGGATAAAGTTTATCGACGTAAACGTGATCTTTGAGGCTGGCCCACAGCATTAGTTAGACCCGCCAAGGTAACGGTCATTTAAAACTTACTCTCTCTTTGCTTGCCTCTTGCATTATCATAAGAGTAAAGCTTTTGTATGCTTTTGTTCATAAACATTAAACTTTGCTCATTTCCTTGCGATTATGTATTTTGTTGCTCTTTTTTTACTTGCAAAACGTTAGCAAAACACTGACTAGGTCAATAATGGTTGTAAAGTTGACTGTAAGGTTGACTGTAAGGTTGACTGAAAAGCTTTGCCAAGCTTTGATTATCAACTTACACACACCTTATATCAACTTTTGCCATTTAATCTGTTTTGTTTGTGTTCACAAACTTTGCTCAATCATTGTTAATCTTTAATGTTTACCTCAGTTTTAAACTTATTTTTCCGGTCCCATGTTAACTATTGAGGTAAACAGTAATATTAAGAAACTTGTGTCAAGACATTTATTCACTAAATTAACATTAATTCCGTTTTTGGCCTTTTCCTCATTTTACGCTTTCTACGTTTTTTTACCCTCAACTCGTAAGGTTAAGGTTCATTTGGTTTTTACATTGACTATTTAAAATTGCTTTTACTTTTGCTTATTATGTTTTACCATGTTTATGTTGATGAAGAGGTGAAGGTGAAAAATGATGGAGAGGGTAAAGATGAAGATGCTAATGATTGCAAGATGCATGAGAAGAGGAGGGAAAGTTAAATCTTTTTTTCTCTGTTTTCTTCTTGCGTTAATATTTTACTTTGATAACTGTTTTCAAGATTTTATCTTGTTATTCCTATTTTGCTATCGTTACTACTTTTATTGTTTTTTACCTTATCTTTCAATCCATCTTTGTTTTGTAATACGATTGAATAAGATTTTCGCTGATAACACATCATCTGAACTTGATTAAATATGTTTTTCTATGAATCACATCTCATGTTCTGTTCGTCAAAAACGCCTTTGTTGATTTTTCGGTGGGTCAGGAGACTTTGAATGCCTTTTGTGCAACATTTCACACTCTAAGCATTCTGGTTTTAACTAGAATTCATAACAGAATTAATTATAGCTTAATCTGAATACCTATCTGATTTTGTATTATGATAGCTCAATTTGTTCCCCATCAAACTAAATATATCATTCACATTGTTATATCACAAATGAATATTTTTGTTCATTCAAAACAAGATTGTTTGTAACAAAGGCTTATGTTAAAATGTAATCTTTAATGTTTCAAGAGTAATTGTTTATTAAAGATGAATATTCTTGAATTTTCAGTAACATAAAAGATCAACTGATATCAAAGATTACATTTTTCACTCAAGGTTTTAAGATAGAAAATTCGGGAAAATGTTGATTTTATGGATATTACGAGTTTATTTTTTAGTCAACTTTTGGATTGAAAAATCGTCAGAAATCGTCGAATGGTCATCCTGTTGCGACAAATCGACGTGTTGTTGTTTCGACAGCAGGTTGCACTACACTGGAAGGTCTACGGGTTGTTGTTGATGTTGTTGACTTGTGTAGTGGCCCAATAGGTTTGGGCTTAAAAGGCTGTGGACTAGGTTTAGGTTTAGAGCTGGATTTATATTGAGATGGACTTGATTCCTCGTGAGTTGACTCATGGCGGTCTTTACTCGATTCGCGAAGATCTGTACTTGATTCATGGTGAGCTGTGTGAGTCTTACTCGGTTCATGGTGAGTTGTACTTGATCCGTGGTGAGTTGATTCATGGTGGGTTGATTCGTGGTGAGTTGTATGAGTCTTACTTGGCGACTTTGACGAAGGTCTTGATCTTGATGATGATGAGGAGGATCGTCGCTTGTATCTTTTGATGTCTGGAGCTGCAAGAGTTGCAACAACACAGAAAAGAACAACTAAAATAATCAAAGTTTTCATTTTAATTTACTAACTTATTATTTAATTTAATATTAGTTAATACAAACTCAAAATGTATTGTGATTAACAATTTTCATCTTTAGTCTTTTTTCAATCTTTATATACTCTAAAAAAGCTTTTCAAATTACACTGTCGACAGGTAACGGAATGATCTCATCATGCGACAAATTAATCTAGATATTAACATATCTTAATGTAATTACTTGGATTACTAATCAATCAATCACTTGGGCTATTAATCACATTTGTGTATCCTTTCGTTCCATCATCACAATCAGGACTCATATGATTCTCGCGATTAGATCAACAATTATTTTCAACAGATAGTTCAATATCACTTAGGAGCTCATTGTTAATTAGATATCATTAATTCAATGTCAATCAACGTTATCTAAAGTATTGCCATTCCAAAAGAAGCCAAAACATCACCAATTAACCTGATGTGATTGGCAAAACCGACTTATTACTTAATCTCATTCAATAACACAAGTTTTTATGGGTAAACATATTTAATAATAAAATGTTAGGAATTAATTAATTTTTATTTTAACTGAAAAATTACAAGCAATGACAAGAAATGTTAATTGGTAGTTCTTAATCATTCCCAGAAGAAATTATTTAGAATCAACAGAATAATTGATTGAATTTCGTTGCTAAACAATTAGACATTTTCAGGTCAATTTGTAACTCTTAGGTCATAACTTTAATATATTTCCGATTTTGAAAGGGGTTCAATGGAGTATTTATGCTAAAGTGGTTGAATCATCTGAAGGTGCTTCGGTTGATGGTGCACTTGTAGGTGCAGCAGTTGGTGCAGCAGTTGTTGGAACAGAAGTTGTTGGAGCAACTGTGGTTGGCTTTGGTGTTGGCTTGGGCTTTGGGTGTAATCGTTCAATTGCTCTTACGATTGCATCCAATTTTCCAATGACGACATCTAACTTCTTCTCGATTTCAACGTGGGGAGGTTTTGGTCCAGGCTTTGGTCCAGGATGATGATGTTCGTGATGTTCATGATGTTCTTCCTTGTGGTCTCCTTTGTGGTCTCCCTTGTGTTCCTCCTTGTGTCCATCCTTGTGGCCTTCTTTGTGTCCTTCTTTGTGTTCCTCCTTGTGTTCCTCATGATGTGGTTCATGATGTTTTCCTTCGTCTTTAGGGGCAGCAAGGATTGCAGTGACACTGCAGAGAACAACTAAAACAATCAAAGTTTTCATTTTTATATTTGGTCAAGTTAGTTAGTAAAAACTGAATTATATTTTGATTAACTGGTAGCATCATTTGCTTCACCGAATCTTTATATACTATTCAAAACTTGTCGAATTCACATTGCCAATAGGTGAAAGAATAATCTCATGATGGGATTAACTAATCATATCTATGAATATTCCTTTCGACACCAAAGTCATATGAAAACTTACGATTAGATTAATTTGCATTGTATGGTTGATCCACGTTGTACAAGTAATTCTTTTCCTAACGATATCAGCAACGATAAGACTCTCTTGTCAGGAATTGGTTCCAAAATCGAATCTGATAATTACATTTGTATTTCAAAACAATTTCAAGTTTCTGTTTTGGGCATAAATTCCAATGCATATACCATATTAGGTATTTCATATTCACTTATGAGCTTTATATTGAAAGTTTTATCAGTTTTGCCAAAAAAATCGTAAAATCAGAATAAAATATGATTGAATTCATGCATTGGCAACTTTCCAATTTGACCATCAATTGAATCCCTTATGTGTTAACTTACAGCTCAATATGTTTGCCATTTCATTAGTTAAACATTGTCAATTCAATGTTCAACTAATTGTTATTGGTGTAGATTTACTTGCTGTCTTGTACGCCATTGTCATTGCAAAACAAAAAAAACATCAACAAGTAACTTGAGATGTTTTCATTAAAAAAACGTCTTGAATCATCTTTTGTTTTTTTCCTCACCTCATTCAACTGTACATAAGCTGGTTAAAGTTTAACGTTTTTTGGCTGTGCCAATACACAGACTTACGAGATGAGCTTAAGATTTTACAGCCCTCCAAGGAGTAAGGGGAGTGGGCTAAGACAATCGCTAAGGGAGAGAGGCTCGTTCACAAGATTTACGCAAGGTTAACAGAGCGTCTTGAGCTTCTGCTGTTTCTTGTAACACGTTTAAGGGTAACCTTTATCCAACATTTGTCTTTATGTTTATGTTTTTTTTGCCTTCTTATTTTTGCTCTCTTAGTCTTGACTTGCCATTTGGCATTAAAGCAGTCAGGAATACTTCCTGTGAAAGAGAGGCGAACAAGAAGATGATGATGAAGAAGAAGAGACTTGAGATGAAGAAAGATGGATGGACTGCCGTTGGATCGACGTTCAGACCGGAAATACGAGTCAAAAGATTTGCAAGTTAAAAAGGCAGAAAAAAATAAACATCTAAATATCAATTTCAATTAAATTTTAATTACAGCTGAAAGCGCACCTAATATTGAAATGTTCAACCGGAAGTTTATGATTCTAATCAAGTCTACTTTTTGAATTTACTTGGCAGTTTAACAAACAATCGTCAATAAATCAAGGATAAACCTTAGAGTTTGATTGAAGTTGAATGAGATGAAACACGCAAAATGTTTGATTGTGTTAAAATAGTATCAATCGAAAGTTCTTGTCGATCGTGTCGATGCTCTTTTAATGTTCGTAACCCTCTCATGATCTGAAATTTCTAATGACACTTTGGGAGGAAAAATTTGTCATTTCATTTGCGAATAGAACTGAATGGGTTAAGATTCAGTTATTGAGTTCATGAATCTTCACGTTAAATTATTAACTAGCTTATGAATAATCTCGATCGACTTGAAGTCTTAATAGATACTTTTTTGGAATGATTTTTGTCTACAAATTTAAGTGTTTAGCTTGTAAGTGGTTGAGTGTAACTGAACTAAAGTTGATATTAATACTTCAAGTGCATTAAATCCATGGAATAAATCATCAACTTTACAATTTTTCATCAACATTGTCGGCAAAAATCGAAGTGGATAGATTTTACTGTAACAATAGAAACTTTTATTATGATGAATTTTTCATTTCCACTGAATTTCTTGGATAATATCATCACGAGAAGATGAACGGCTATTTTAATGATAGTCTGCTTCCATTTGGCTTGCATCATTATAGAAATAATCATTAAAGGATAATTTGAAAGTTGTATCCAAACTATGTTTCATGTTGAGGTAGCATTCAGAGAAAGAATAGTTTTCTTATGAATTTTATTAATAATTGATAGTTAAACTTGCATTTCAAATACTATTAAAAATTTAATTCAATTATTTGTAACTTTCTTCTGATCTAAGGAACCACGCAAATAATGTCGCGAACTGTTATGGCTTTAAAGACAGCTCAATAGCAATCAAAATTGATATAAATTGTATCCAACTCTTGATAAGCTGAAATAATCTCTCTGTGAATTTTGAATATGAATCAAATTGTTTTTCAACTCGCAACTTCAGAAGTTGAAGAGGAAAAAAAGAGTGCATTGAAAAAACTATTTTTCGCAATTATTGGTTGGCCATCGCTTAATATTGAACATTCTGAAGCTGCTCGAGCAATCAAAGTTTTTATATTTTATGGTCAGTTGTTGCTTGTGTATCAAAATGGTCATGATATTTCATCGAAACCAACCAAATGGTTTACCATTTCAACAATCAGTGTTGACTTTTTTATCTACCTTACATTAATTAGACTGATTGTCAATTATTTCATAAATGATTCAATCATTTTAGTCTGTTTAGGTGATGTTTTATCGGGTTGGGACAACGGTTATCCCATTGGAATATTATCCATCATCGGAATAACCTGTCTCGGAACTTTTCGATCCTTTTCTTGTTATCAAGCTCGAAATGGAAGTCTTGCCTGGTTCAGAGTTATTGAAGAAGCTTCCATTCATGGATTTACCAGTAAAATTCTGAACATGAAAACTGTCCATTTAATGAAATTCAGACAACAAATTGTGTTCCTTTCAAGACAAATAATAGGTGCATCTATTGTTCCGACGACCATTTGGATCGCATGTTATGTCTATTTACTATACAGCAGTCCATTGACTTACTTGTCCATTCAAAGTCCTTTGTATTTCATTTGTTTCGTTTCTTGGCAATTAATATCAATTATAGCGATCATTTTCATTGTTCCTCAAGTTGCTTGGTTTGCTATCATGATCATCATGTCAATTTGTTATTTAAACAAACGAATTCATTCCGTTTATGACGAACTTTCAAGTTTATCAAATATAAATTTTGTTCAATTTTATCGACTTCACCATAAACAAGTTTCAGTTCTCAATGAAATTGACTATATTAATAATCTATTGAGATATATTTTCTTGGTTGGCTATTATGCGATTGGTTTAAGTGGTGAAGTGACCCTTCTTTATTCTTATCTAAACTTATTTGATATGCCCATAGCAGATCGTGGACTATGGATCGTTGGTTCTAATACCATTTTCCAGATAGGCCTAGCTTCTTATTTAGCCGGCAAAATATTAGTAAAGGTAAACAGTATAACACCTTCAGTCCATGAAATTCATGCTTTGCTTTGATCATCTTTTATTTTTTTGTGATTCACTTTTCTCTTCTTATTATAGCTAAAGCATTCTTATTCATATTATCAAAAATTGAATCAAAAAAATTTCAAACTACCATTTCGAGTTAAACTAAAGGTTTGTTCATGTTCATCGGTTTCAATTGAAATTATCCAACATTAAAATAAGCGAAAAAGAAACATTCTTTTTGCAAATTCTATTGAATCAAACGAATCAATAGTTCAATTTGAATGTTGTATCTTTTCATTCCAAAATTGCATCTTCAAATAACGAGAAATTTCGTTCAGAATTTCAAGTTGAAACATCCAAACTAATTACTGAAATTGATCATTTATCATTCACTAGTTTCTGGAACTTTTGAATAGATTAGACTCTCCTAATAATGGATTTTGGATTGGCGACGTTTTCATCATGGATAACCTTTCATTTGTTCAGGTAAATCAAGTGAACTTGATGAAAGAAAACGAAATCTTAATTTTCTCAATTTTATCAGTATTGTCTTGAAACTTGCTCCAACATGATGCTGTTCATTTGCAATTTGCCAGCCCTGGTAAAGGCTAACTCCTAAGCGACTTCCAGCTAATCGTGCATAAATGAAGCACCAATATTCTTGTCTCAGTGCTTGCAAGAATGAATTTTAAATTGATCATTAAATCAATGGATGTGAATCATTAATATTGAATAACATCTTATTTCAGCTCTTAATCTATCGCGAAAATGAACACAAATGGATTTAAATTCATTCAAAATTGCACAAAATGCAATTGTTATCATTTAACTTCCTTAATTTTTAAATTGTTGTAACAATTAATTTGATTAAAATGGTCATAAAGCTGTTTTCCATTTAATCAGTGAAATCATCTTTTTTCACAACTTTCCATTGTTCATGCTGAATTGTGTTTAAATTAACATGTTAACCAACAAACATTAGCGTCATGTTAATGGTCATGTTAATTCAATCTCAACTTAACTATACTGTTGAATCAGTGAACATTACACATGTAAAAAGGATTGAACTTTCAATTTTTGAGCAACCATTTAAATCAGTTAAATTTAAATGTTTGACAGCTTCTCATAATTGATGTTAACCAAATTCATTCAAAACGGTCCGGAACTTTCGTGACAAGTCAACAGGAAGATTAAAAATACCTTCAAAGATCGCTCTTGCCTCATACTGACCTTACCAACTAGTGCCATAAGCCAAGATTCTGTATGAGAAATAAAAGCTGAAACAAAAGGGAACAAAATCTTATTCAATAGCCATGATTTAACATGATAATAATGATAATAATTACAGGTTAAACGTTGGTCGCGTGCTTCTGCAAATGCTCAGAATACCTTTTCTTTATACACTTTTAATGAATATAATGATAAAGTATAATGATAATAATAGTGATTCATAAAAGTATATTTCAGTAGCCAGCAAAAATGAAAAGCAAAAGAAGCCCAAAAATGTAAACTGAAAATGGTAGCAATGAGATTGAGTGAAAAATGAAGGGAACAAAAAAATCTCTTGAAATAAATGTGTTTGTGTGTGGTCACTTGAGCCATTACAAAATGACCATCATTGTTGATTTCAATTTTGATTATTGATTGGCATTCATAACCTGAAAACACCTTAATTAAATGGAAACTTTT